TCTGATATTCGGGTTCATAGGGTTCATCATTCGCATGAGTTTAGGGTATATAAGGCGCAGGATCTATCGTTAAGTCTACTGTACTACACCCCAAAGGCCATTCCAATTGTCAGTTAAGGACCCTATATCACTTGAGTTTCTGAGAAATGGGCCTGTCCTTACAAGAGTAGGAACGCAACGAATGCTCAGGGTTCGTCGTACCACTGGGGCTCCACAATTTCAATGCTTCTGGACATGTTTTGGATGGCAAGCTACTTCGTGGTCTGGCATGCACGCTATTCGTAAGAGTACCCCGTCAGAGGAACTGTTTGGCAGCAGGCATACTCTGAGCTGGAGTCATATACCATGACATCCGTCGTAACCTGCTATCATCAACCGAAGCACCATCATCATCGTACGCTTGAGCTCCGTCAGATTTCGTCACACGGCTATACCAATGCGTTCACACGTTCTAAGTAGCACCATAATGTTCATGGCTCTGTTCATCATCCTGTCATCGTCCCTGTATACTTACTCTAATGCTTCTTGTGCTAGAATTTGTTCAGACATCGTCATGACGGACTTTATGAGCATCACAGTATGCGGATGAATGTTCACATACAGATCACACCAACACCACCACCATTATCGTCATCAACTACCACGGCCGCAGCCAGGGTCTTGTTGGACCTTCTGCCTAGTCCCCGTATCTCACCGGAACCTCAAGCATAGAGCTTAGGCCCGAAACCAAGCACTGATATCGTGGCTGCCCGGTGGCTGGAAGTATGGCGCTGCTCCGGAGAAGAATGGCGGTCTGTAGCAGAAGCAAGTGGTACAGTACTCGCCAAGACGTATGAAGTGATCTGCTACATGGCTACCATCACCGGCTTGTCCACGGTCTGCACATCTTCTACATGCTTATTGGTGTGTGGTGTCACTTGCTGGTATGGCTTTACTAGGTGGTTGCTGCTACGGTAAACGCCAAACCGCTCTCCCGTGCCCCACCCTGCCTCCCCGACGCCTGCAGAGAGCTAGGTAGGCCTTTGGGACATTTTATATTTTCCCTTGTGGGGCTTAGTAGGACCCTATTTACAAATATTGTTCAGAGGCTTTAAAGGGCCAACCTAAGAGGTCATCTTCAGCGTGATGAGTCCGAGACCGGCAAAGATCGAGTGGTGCCGCCTCGAGTCATCTTGACCCTGTGCTAGTACACTGCACACCCTACGCCCTGAAGCCCAAACCTCTCATCTGGGTTCTTGTGAAGGAGTTTAATTTCATAAGTTGGTTTAATTTCATGAGCTAGTTTAACTTCGTAAGTTAGTTTAATTTCATAAGTTAGTTTAATTTCATAAGTTACCCTTTTGGGGGTCTCGAGTAAATAAGATGCTTTCCGTTATTTCAGCTTCTACGCCCGGAAGCTCCAGGTCTTGAGCCCTGAAGTTTAGAGCCGTCAAAACCCCCCAAAAGAGGGTTTAGGGTTTAGGGGTTTAGGGTTCAGGGTTTAGGGTTTAGGGTTTAGTTTAGGGATTACGGTGTAGGGTTTAGGTCTAGGGCTTAGGGACTAGGGTGCAGGGTAGGGTCTCGAATCGTTTAGGATTTAGGGATTTAGGGATTTCGGCGTAGAGTTTAGGTTTAGGGTTTAGGGCCTAGGGATTAGGGTGCAGGGTATAGGGCCCTAAGCGTTTAGGATTTGGGATTTGCAGGGTCAGGATCCTCTTTCAATTCTTGAAGCGTACGCTCGAAGCTCCAAAGATGAGCGCGCACTATCGCAGCGAGACTTGCTACCGGCCCCTAAAACCGTAGCCCCTAAAACCCTAAATCCTGAACCCTAAACCCTAAAACCCTGAACTAAGCGCTAGAACTCCAAACCGTGAGCTCTGAACCTAGATCTTGTGGAGCGTGAAATAGAGAGCTCGAAGCATCCACTCCCTGGTATGGAACCCGCGGATCCTTAGCTGGACCTCCCTCAGCTTTTCTCAGATCTCAGGGTTTGGCATTAAGGGTTTAGGATTCAGGGTTTCGGTTTAAGGTTTAGCTATCAGGGTTTAGGGCCCTTCAGATCACAAATTCAGTTTTGGGCTGGGGGGTTTGGGTGACTGACGCGGTGGCTGGGCTCGAAAGACTGAAATCGTTGTGAGCGACAGACCGTACCATGTAAGCCTAGGGTTTTTAGGGTTTAGGGGTTTAGGGTTTAGGGTTTACGATGCAGGTGATGTGCCAGAAGCCCATACCCCAAGCCTCGATTCAGCCCTGCGTGCATTTGCCATTTTCGTCTCTCTGCGATCGTGGTACGTTTGTGCTTCGGGTAGTACCGTACTGCCTGATGCAGCACGGTTGCCTAGCATGCCTAGCACTCCAGAGGCTTCAAGGAATCACGAACACTTGGGTGACAACCAGTCTTAGGGGTTTAGGGGTTCAGGGTTTCAGGGTCTCAGGGTTTCGGGACATGCTTCGTCATGACAGCACGCTGTTATTGCTAGGGTCGTCTCGACCTGCAACCTAATCCTCAGATCTTAAGCCAAAGAGCTACTAATGTAGTGCCCGAGGCACGGTGGAGACAGAACCTTATGCTGCACCATACCCCTTCAACGCTCTGCTCGAATCCCAAAATGTAGAGTGAGATCCTTGAAGCATCGAATTCCTATTGGCTTCGCGGAAGTCTGCGATGGCAGACAGCCAGCTACAGCATCTGCTGGCCTTTGTCGTCAGGATCAGGTCCCAAAGTCTGGACCTGTGGGATGAAGTTTGCAACAGTACGTTACTCCACCCCCGGCCTTCTACCCTAACCCTAAAGCCCCAAAATCCCTAAATCTCAAATCTCTAAACCCTAAACCCCAAAGCCCTAGACCTGTGTTGCTTCTGCAAACTTTGGCCCTTGTGCCGATAATTCTTAGGCTGTCACTTCGCCCAGAGATTCACGTGAGGCCTGCCTCTTGGCAACTGAACTGCCTCTCTGGGATGTAGGGCGCGAGTGGATTTCAGGCTTCGTGGTATGTTCAGGGTATGTAGGGTCTTATACAACCATTATAGGGCTTCAAGTATGGTCAAGAGTCAAGAGCTTCGCGCCTCTGTCTGGATCAATGGGGTCGGATGGGCCCAGCATGCAAGCAACACATCTCTCGGCCACGGGGCCTCAAAAATTTGAAGCTGTCGCCCGGAGAGCGCAATGAGCCATAGTGACGTAGGGGTACATACCCCACATCATGTTGTAGCCCAAATCATAATGATCATATCGTTGGGGATCGAGCCAGAATTTGCATGTATTCCTGAATTATGGAGGATTGGTTCTCCGGGCATGTCGTTTTAAACAAGGCCACATCCAGCCTTCTGCAGTCCCCACGAGGGTCCACTTGCACCACCATTCCCAACAACAATCTTAGTATTTATGAAGGTTGCTGGGTTTGGGGTAGAGGATGGTTTCCGGGATCCGATTCTTTAATGGTGACCTGGTAGGTATATCTGGACCGTCAGGGTCCTGCACTGCAGGGCTGTAGAGAAAGGCGGCACGACCGAACCCTTCCTGCCATCATCCGCTTCAAGTCTGTAGCTTTGGAGTGTCTGAGCATTACACTAAACCCTACACCTCAAAGCCTCAACCCCAAACCACGGGTTCAATCAGTGGAGCTATTGAATACTGCGGTGTACAGTAATGAGCATTGATACCCTCCTAAACCCAGACCCTAAACCCTGAACCGTCTGATACCCGCTTCTATGATCATGCGAGCTGCTTTGTGTGTGATGTTCTGTAGACGTCTGCCCGTCCCTCAGAGAATGAGTTGAGGGCCCCGAGTTTTAAGCTTAAGGGGTTTAGGGTTCTAGGGTTCTTGGGTTCATGGGTTGGGGGTTCGGGTTTACGGTTTCGGTAGGGTTTGGGGAGCAGAGTATCTGGGTCCTTGGCCCATGCTTGCTTATAGTTGTTTTGAGCTTGGGAGACGAGACTTATTTTGAGTATTTTTTGGAAGGGGGAGGGGGGAATCGGTATGGTACAGCAGAAAGGACTGCGAAGGGATGGTAGTTAGTAGTAGCTTGTCGCGGTGTTCCTTCCGGTGCTTTTTTCCGGTTTCCGATGCAGATGTAGATTATTGGCACAGCAGAATCCCAAACTCGAAATGTGCTTATTGACACTTCTGTAATTCCTTGGGTTGACGTGGATTTCACAAGCTTGGATGCGTTCTTTGCGGAGAGTCGTGTGCACATCTGTTGATCAGTCGGAAGATCTGAGCTCTGAAGGTGAAACCGAAACATAATTTAGGGGCCTATAGAATATTGCCATTACCATTTTCGAAGTTCTTTACTATAAGCATAGTATAGTAGACCCGAAAGTCCTATTCTAATTGTGAAGGCCCTAAACTAAAGCCTTCGACCCCGAACCCTGATCTATAAATGAACAGTGTGGTACGCCCGGGCGGCGTGCATTTCTGGGAGTCGCATCTGGTAGTGTAATTCCTTTGTGTATTTTAATCGTGGATTGTAGCTTAACATTTCCACGTTTCAAGCCTTGTATGGGATCCCCAAGCCCTCACCTACCAGTACTTCCAAACCCTAATACTTTAAGGTTTAGCGCCCTAGGCCCTAAACCCCAAACCTACACCCCAAGCCCGAAAACCCTAGGCCCAAGCCCTGAGGGTTTCGTTTGAGGCATCGATTCGGTCCGGACGGTGAGTTGCAGGGTTCAGGCAAATTCAGTGTGGGGTGAGACGGCCTGTGTAGCTGGTGATCTCCCCTGATATCCTTGGAACATTTAGATTCCAGTGGTCATTGATTGCTTTGGCAATGCCGTGAAAAAGATGCTGCTGCCTTTGTGTCATTCCCGACTCGCATAGCGACGACACAAGCCCTTGATATCACATTACCAACCTTACAAGTAATTAGCTCTTTACGTACTGCCTAACGATTGTTATGTTTCTGCACCCCGTTTCTTCCTAGCTCTGAAGACCTGCGGTGGGTTCAAGATATAATAAGTATTTTGCTTCCTACATCAAGCCTTAAACCCAACAACGCTAAACCAGAACGTCAGCAAGGCCCGTGACGGAAACTGCCTCTTTCGCTCCTTCTCTGACCAGGCGGCGGGATTTAGAGTTTAGGGCTTCAGGGTTTTAGGGTATAGGGAAGTTTAGGGTTTAAACCTACAACCCCGTGAAGGATTTGTGTTGATGTTTGAGAACAGGGTTCGAGGTTCCACTCTCGGGTTGGGAAGTTTGAGGTAACAGTCAGGATTATCACATCTGTGCTTATTCGATGAGTTTTGGTGGTTGAGGGAAAAGGCTTTCGGGGTCAAGGTCTTCCATGATTCAACTTGAGACCTTCATAATGGAAAAAATGAAGCTTTTGGGGTAAAGCTTAGTCTCAATATGATAAGGAACACTAAGGAATAAGAGCTCTTTCTATCCTCTAATCGTTTTGTGGCTTCGGCTTTTTCGGATCCCCACAGTACTACTTTGAATCCTGTAGACGGCTCTGACAAGGTCTACGGCTGCCCTGACTACCATGCCCTGCTGAGAGACAGGCACCTTGGCAAAGAAGATGATTTATGCAGATGCTAGCAACGGCTATCGCCGTTTTCGTCATGATGTTCTCGCATGTCGCACGCACTGGTCTGATCGTCATCTGCATTCTGGTCATGATCTTTCCAGTCTGGCTGGCAGGTTGGAGGGCTACGACTCGCAGACACGTGCGTTGAGAGTGTTCAAATCATCTTGCGAAGTCCGCCCTCCCCCCCGGCCCCACGGCATCCCAACACGGCCATACAAAGCCCATGTAAGCCAACTTAAGGCCCATAAGCCTAGTCATACATGTATGTTCATATATGGAGAAACAAATATAAAAGCATATACAATTTCTTGGTTTTCTTGTAGGTAGGTAGGTATACACTCGTGAGTCAAGTCTAGGCAACATCCTCGGGCAAGTGCGGACTTGCAGGTACATGCATGGGGTTGTGCTGTTTTGCAGTATGGTTCTCAGCATGTATCGGGAGTTGGACTCGGATTGTTTGGCTTCCAAATGTGAAGTTCAAGTTAGCATCGAGTCACTAAATTCACTAAATCTTACTTGCTCCGAATTCCGGCATCTCTCAATTCCAAGCTGCCGATCTCCAACAATTCGGGACACATGCCTGAAGGTGCACAAAGTACATCGCTAGCGAGCGAAGCTATTTCGAGCAATTCGTGGCGGAGCCATTTGAAGAGTCTTGCTGGCATGATTTCTCGGAGGTCAGCGGGGTGTCCAATTTTGCCGTGTGAAGCCGAGTCTCATAATTGCCTAGCGCCGAGACTTAAAAGCCCCGTGCTATTCGGTTTAGTGTTGGCATGTCCTGTGGTTTCTATGGGAAAAGGATAAGAAAAGAAGTCGATAACAAAGCGATAACGCAATTCCATTGAACAACGGTAACTCAGCATAAAAAAACAACGATAACGACGTTGAGGGACAAGGATGTTTATACGGTGTTAGCATCCAGCCCCTGTCGATTGAAACACATGTATAATATGCCCCCCAAACCCTAAACCCTAAACCCTTTTCTAATTGTCAAGGCCCGTGTATTGTCTTAGCCTTGCTGGAATCCTGTGGGCCATGACCTGCTGTCGTTTGCTCCTACGGTCCAGCCCAACTACGCCGGCGAGATCTGCAAGCAGTTAGGGTGCAGAGTTGAGGGTTCAGGGGTCCAGTCCAGTATGATTCTTTGATGAAGATAAAACAACGAGACAGCCAAAAGATCTTCGAAACCCATATCGCAGCGCGGTCATATAGTCTATGTCTAAGTGTAGGCATGGCCTTTGCACCATCGTATCAGAATGGTTTGAGGGGGCTTCATTGCCAAGGCGACGACAGTCCCAGTAGGAGGTTGCTCAACTGTTGAGGCTCAACATAAGCGTGTTCAGCCATTCGGGGATTCGCCAGGTTCTTGCGGCTTGTTCTCTGTGCCTGGGATCTTGTGAATCACTGAACCAAGCAGCATGCATGCGCGTTCGGTTTCTTAGCGATATCTGCTTGAAATGATAATGAAACAGATCCCCTGGAGGTTTCTGGCACGGATACAGCGCGAGGGCGAGTGGGGCGATGATGTGGAGATTGAGGCTGATGCACGAAGTCCAGGGGCTTAAATGAATACCAATACTAAGTTTATATAGTGGAATATGCCCCAAAGCCCTATTCTATTAATTCAGGCCCCAATTGGGCGTTAGAGTTTGCAGTTTGGGGGGGTAGTTTAACTGCAGGAGTTGATGGGCCGAACTGCACTCAGGAGCTGAGGGTTTGGGGTTTCCAGGGAAGACCCCAAAACTCCATGCTCAAAGTCCGCGACTCAGCACCGTAAATGAAAATGCTTGCAGCTTAGCCGTAAACCCCAACTCTTAGTAGACCCCTAAACTGATTGGTAAGCGAACACAGCTACTGCTGCTACTACTACTACTACTACTACTACTACTACTACTACTACTACTGCTACTACTACTGCTACTACTGCTGCTGCAGCTGCTGCTACTAGTAGTATTACTCTCCCTATTACTATTAATATTAGCATCCTGCATCCTGACACCTTACAGCAGATGAACCTGCAGGCGTTGTCCGAGATTTACGACTGTCGGGCTGCATTCCCAGAGGGCAATGCTGTCGTGAATCCGGCGGCCGTTCTGCCAATACGGGTCTGAAGAAATAGGAACAATATCCCCCTCATAGTCCGTAAATAAATGTATTCTGATCATGAAGGCCCCATTGTTTTTCTTGTGTGACCATACCTTGATGACATTCGCACCATCACATTGATCCAAATAACCATTATGGCCCCGATCCCATTCTTGTGACCACAACACTGGTGAGCACCCAAACCGCCACATCAAAGGTGGAGATTTATGCCTCCTACGGCCATTCGTGCGCGCGTCAGTGGTGATGCAAGCTGCAAGCCACGTTCTGGCAGTGTTGTTTTATATCGTATCGGCTGCATCATGCATGTGAGAAGGCATTGTATGCAACGATTGCTCAAGCATTGCAGCTGCAGAAACGGAGGCAAACGGAAATTGGGCTTAAATCAGGGCTCAGCAGCATCTGCACACGGCTTGACGAGGCTGATGCGGACATTTCATGAGGCTTGCGACGCAAAGTGGTCGCAGCCCGTGAGGCAGATGGATGGCTGAGAGGGTTGTGATGTATGGCTGCTGCAGGCTATGTTCAGGGCGCAGAGTCATCGTGTTACCAAGATATGAAGATGGACGATATGCGGAGCCCTAGTTATGTTGCGATTAGCCACGATGTAAGGCTCTAGATGGTGTAGAAGTGTATGGAATAAGTCATGCACCACTTGTCGGCTGAGTCTCTGGGGTGCAGACGAAGTTCTGTGAGGGCTCGTTGCTGCAAAAGACTTCGCCATTCATCTCTGTTGTATACTATTTTTATCTTTCCGCAGACCTGCTCTATTCCAATAATTGGGCTTCTGTTGGCTCTGAAGCCAGTTACACTTACACCCTCTGCTTCAAAATCTAAACCCCCTAAACCCGAAACCCCCAGAGCCGCCTAAACCCTAGATCCTAAACCCCCTAAACCCTAAGCCTTTGCTAAGAAAGCTCCGAAGATTACCACCCTAGTTTCCGTCCTTCATGTAAGGTAGCGGCATAAATCATTACCCATAGGGTTTAGGCAGAATCATATCCAAGATATGATAAGACTGCTGGCTCTAAGAAGTGCCGGCCGCCGTCTCGATATTAGCCCCCGCCCCTCCCCCACAATCCTAAGTCTTTCGCCTCTCCAGCTCTTGCAGGCTGCTGTACGAGGGCCATGCGCACTACAACTCCCTGGCTCCCCGAAGTGACCTGGGCTGCATCGATCAAGGGAGGCTCCCATTTTTTCGTAAATGCGGTACTATGTACTATAAAGTTTGGTGCTATGTATTGCTGTATTTATCTATTCGAGCAGCTTTCGAAAGTAGCTTGTGTTGTATCCACGAGGGATTTGGGGATCGGGTTTTGCCGTGTTCATGGTTTGGGGTTGTCAAGGGCCTTGTAATCTTGTAAGGTTTCGTACAGATTTAGTTTACGGTGATGTTGACAGTAGTACTGGTATACAAAGCCAACAAGTATTCTGACAGTGGCCATAGTAGCCAGCAGCGACCACGAACCCCATCATCACCACCAAAGACAGGTTATCATCTACAGTAAACGGCCGAACTTATACTTCTGCTGCTCTAAAACGACAGTCGTGACTCGCGGATTGCCTTGGACCGTGAACGCCAAAGCCCTAAACCATAGCCCTAAGCTCTAACCTAAACCCTAAGCCCTAAACCGACCCCAAACCCTGAATCCCTCAACCCCCAAACGCTGAAACCCCTGAACCCTGAACACGCCGATCCCTCAACTGTCAACCCTAATCTGAAAATAGGGTTTGGGGTATATTATGTATACTAGCTGGACCCTGAACTACTAAACCCTAAGCCCGCAACCCCCCAAACCCTAAACCCCTGAACCCTGTACGCCCCAGACCTTGAAAGGTGGCCTTTGCCCCATTGCCCAACAGCTGCGGCCAGGGGAGATGGAGGAGCAAACTTGCCGAACGAGTAGGTTTCAGACTATGGCTTCGCTTGCTGAAGTCGTACATTCGAAGTGTGGAGAGTTTATATACTGACAACTTATCGTATTCAGAAGGTCGTATACGGGCGATGAGAGTAAGGGATTTGTGTGGGCTTGGCAGGCGTTTGTATTGCCGGTTGCATAGCTAGTTGGGCCGATGAGTAGCTGCAACGTCTCATCACATGTCAGTCTACCGTTGCCAAACTCCATCGGACTTACGAAGCTCTTGGTTTAGGGTTTAGGGTTTAGGGTTGTGGGTTCAGGATTTGTTTGGAATCTGGTCAGCGTGCGTAGGCGGAGTTTCAGCAGGGGTGGCCTCCTCAAGCCCTAAAGCCCAAACCCGAAGCCTTGAACCTGCAACCCTACTTGGAAGGGCAGGGGACTTAGTAAGTAGGTTACAAGTAGGAATATAATTGGGGTAACTCCATTTGGGGTACTTATAACTCTACTTATAACCTACTTACTATAAGTCCCCTGCCCTTCCAAGTACACGCTGTACTGGGACGGAAGTCTGAAACATTGAAGCGTGTGTCTGCAAGTGGGTGAGGACGCTGCGATCAGCAGATCCCGGAGGAGACATGAGGTGGGATTTGTCACGGTTTAGGGTTTAGGGTTTCGGAGGAGAACATGACGACAGCAGTGACAGTGAGGTTGTCAAGAATGACAGCAGCGATAACCACAAGTCGTAGCAGGATAGCGGCAGTAGCAGTGTTGTCGTAGCTAGATATATCTATACATCACACATATATCTACATATATATATATATATATAAAAATATATAAGTATATATATATATATATATATATACATCACTCGAATTTGTTACCTACATCCCTAAATCCCCGTAAAACAACCTGAAGAGTGGAACCCGCATCCCTGGACGCCAAATCCGAAGCCTCACCACCCCAAATCCTAAGCCCCATACCCTCAATATCCCTAAATTCCTAGCCTTAAACCCTTAAATTAAAGCCTTCAACCCTGAACCTTAAAACAACCCGAAAGCAGAAGCTCTAATTTAGAAGCATAAATAAATACCAAGATCATTCCTTGTGATCCTGTTCTAGCTTTTAAGGCCCCTATATTGTAGAACTGTTGTGTTAAGCCTTACCGAACCCTCAAAGGGGCACTTGAAAGGAACCCTACCCGACCTCTTAAGGCCCCAAACCCCAAAAACCCTAAAACCCTAACCCAAAACCCTAAACCCTAAATCCCTAACCCAAAACCCTAAACCCTAAAACCCTAACCCAAAACCCTAAACCCTAAAACCCTAAGCCACAACCCCTGTAGACCTTAAAATCTAAAATGGCCCCTGACAGCCACGAGGCCGGATACCGTCGCGAAGGCGTCCATGAGGCGGATGCCAAGCTCACCGAGCAGGAGGCCCCCGAAGGTTTCGGGTTAAAGGGAGGGCATTTGGGGTTTAGGGTTTAGGGCATTTAGGGGTTTAGGGTTTTTTTGTTCTTAAGGGGTTTAGGGCTTTGGGTTGAGGGTTCAGGGGTTTCGGTTTGAGGTTGGGGGGTGTAGGGTTGAGGGTTCAGGGGGTTAGGGTTGATAGAGGGTCTGGGGCTTCGGGGTTTCGAGTTTGTTTCGAGTGTCGGGTACGGGGTTTTGGGTTCGAGTTTAGGGATTCGGGATAGGGTCGAGGGGGTCGAGTTTCGGGTTTTGGGTTTTGGGTATTGCGGCTTCGAGTTTCGGGTGCCAGGTTTAGGGTTTTGTGGCGCCTACCTTCAGGTTTATTGAGCCTTAATTACCCGATTGGCGTCGCAAGATTTGGTAAGAAAGTCCCCTTCTAGTGATTTTGGTCCTTCCATAGTTTGTAGTATAGTAGTATACTTATAGTGTGAAGATCCCTGTACTAGAGACCAGCGACCATTCTTTGCGCAGGTGGTCGACGAGTCGATTCGTCTGAGCCGCCTTGAGTTTGAGCATAAGTCGGATGCTGAGATGGTCCGGAACTCAGATCGAAGTCGTGAATCACTGTTACGGTTGATGATATAAATCCTGCATTATCTTAAGGACCCTAAACTATGGGAATTATGGTATATTCCTTATTATGGGTAATGCAGGATTTATATCATCAACCGTATGACTTCGTGCAACAATAGTTCCTTAGGGAGTTGTTTTTGAGGCGTGGGAGGGGTACTGTTCAGATTTTGTGTTCGCGACTTTCAATGTTCACACAGACACCGAAACGGATCAGGGTCTGGGGCTCGAACTGTAAACTCAAAGGGCTTGTTCTATGCTTGCATGGCAGATGTACGACTACTAAATTACACTAGTAACCTTAGTCGCGGTTGCGCAGGCAACCAGCTGGGAGGATCGGACCAATACTATTCGAGAGTAAATATAAATGTGCAGCGCTCTTGTCAGGTTGGCATCCACAGCAAGTGCTGCATTTCATGAAGTGAGAATGCTATACCGGAAAATGCTAAGGAAACCGTTCCAACGTAGACCCCCAAGCGCAAGAGCACCTGGCCGTCTGTAAAAGCCCGGACCTGTCGGCCAAAGCGCACACTCCTCCGGTACTATATATAAGTCCGATATCCAGAACCAGAATTAGCAGCTCCACGACCATGACGTCGACCAACAGCACCACTGCCTGCTGCTTCACTTGCCAGAAGCCAGGCTATTACTGTTGATCATATAAATCCTGCATTGCCTTAAGGACCCTAAACTATGGGAATTATGGTATATTCCTTATTATGGGTAATGCAGGATTTATATCATCAACCGTAGTACCTTGTTCCCGAACAAACTGAAGCCTAGCGACTGGTCGTCTTGGCAGGATATGGCACTTCAAGATTCCCGTGCCGAGTGGGAAAAGCAAGGGCCCAAGCTGAACTGCGTGAATCCCCTGGTAGAAGCAAAAGTTTGGCACTGAAGGCCTATAGGCCTGGGATATAGGGCACAGGATGTACAAAATTCACAAGGTCATAAGGTTTGTGGATTTTGGACTTGGGTCCATGATGTCTACGACAGAGGAGGGGATAAGGTTCCAAGGTAGTTTCAGGAAAAATACTACAATTCAAGGTGTGGGCAGCTAGCTAGGTTGGGTCCGGTGCTTTCTGAAGATACAGCTCTTTCTCATGCGGGGTCGTTGTTTTGTACAGGTGTCGTCGGTTTGCTCCGGTATCTCCATGGTTCACCAGGTGGAATCCTGGAACTCCCAATGCTACATGTAGTCGTGCATAGTTTTATCCTAGGCCGACGTCCAGAACCATGGACTCCTTTTAATCGCACGACCCAGGGGGAAGCCCAAAGTCAGGGACCGCGCATTTTCCTTAAATCCTAGAAATATCACCCTCTACTTCCCAACCCCGAACCAAAGGCAAGCTCAACAACAGTAGTACAATACACCCAGATTTCGGAACACTGGGATTTCGATCACTCGAAAAAGAAAACTGGCCAGAAAGGAACACTATACACCCTAAGTTTTGGCAAAAGCGCATCTTAAAGACCTGAAAACAAAGGTCAGAAAGGAAGCGCATGGAGGAGGAGGTGGTCGACGCCATCCTCCAACAGTCTGTGGGAACCCGAGCTCCTTCCGGGCGGGTAGGGCTCGTGCTAAACTTACATGGGGGCCTTGGTAATTGGAATAGGGCTCCCCTTAAAGCATTAATAAGGAACCCCCTAAACCCTAAACCCTAAACCCAAACCCGGAACCCTATTCTAGTTATGAAGGCCCCTACATTAGCAAAAGCTCTTGGGTTTCTTACGATTCGTCTTACTCTTCGTGGGGGGGTGCCTGTACCGAAACCCTATGCCTGTCACTCCAGCTGGGTGTCCCTAAATGGTAAGAATCCTACTCCTACCCTTTGGGTTCGATTCCGGGGTATGTGCTGATACTTTGCCAACCTCAAAGCAGCTTGTGGCAATCTATACCATAGCTAGGGTATGATGATGGTTGCATGTTTCGGTATGCTTGTTGTTGCTTCTTTTATGCTGAGGGTTCGGGAATTGAGGTTTTGTGGATTTATAATGATTTTTGCGCAGCTGCAAAAGCCGTCATCTATGGCCTCTATTCTCACGGCTGCTGGGGCCAATCGTGTCTGACTGCTGGGGTTTGATTAGCTTCTACGCGCGAGAATGTACTGCAATTTGCCATCACGTGCTACAGTCTGCTATGAAACCCCATACTGCCTACTGTAGCATGATAGTTTCTGGCTTACCTACGACTGTTTAGGTCTGTTGGCTTTTGGAGTTTGAACATGAAATGCCACAAAAGAGGAGCACACAACTACGAAATTTGCAAGGCATCTCTAAGCACTCAACCGCCTTTAGAGGGCTTCCCAGCTTCCCATAGCTCTAAGCCTCCCTCAGTGAGACCCCCAAAAGTCCCCAAGTAAAGCCTCCAGCACCAAACCCCAAGCACCAATGCACCAGAGCCTAAACGGAGAGGTGCTTGAGGAGGAGCAGAAGCAACTCACTTTGGCCATGAAGGAGTCGAAGGCCTTCTCCCAGCTGCCAGAAGTAACCGGGCTCTAACCCCCCAAACCCCGAAAGATAAACCCTAAACCCCAATAAACCCTAAATCATTTTTAGCCTTAAACCCTAAAGACGCTTCTTGTTCTACCGGTTCAGGTGTTTTGGCCTCACAGATCTACAGGGTTCCGATCTAGGCTTTGAGGATTTTCAGTTCCAGGGCTCAGGGCTTGTGGTGGGGCTCATGGAATGCTTCCATCCTGCTGCCTCCGTGCTCAAACCCGGCCTTGGTTGAGAGATCAGAGGCTTGCTTTTCCGGGTCCTTATGTGTTTACGGAGGGTTAATAAGGAGGGTTTACACGAAGGGACAAATCAAAGTCGGATTGTTTTGATGATCTGCACCGTCATCCTCCCGATCCGAAGCATAGCCCTCGTAAGGATCCGCCTCTGCATTCAAAAGCCTCGCCTGGAAACCTTTCTCAGCTTCTTGTTTGTGGAGGCAAGCTGCGAAGCATCCAAATCTCAAGCGTCAAGCCTTAACCACCGCACGCAAACTCTAATGCAAAACAGCGGAAGCAACATGACTGCCAAGAAATCGACGAGAATCATAAGCCCTCGAGCTTTTTCGGATCCGAAAGGAGGATGTCATTCACAACAGACCGGAGTTTGCGGCACTCTACGGAATGGCCCAGAGCTTAGTCCGCGCTGTGGTCACATAGATATGATGAGGCTGTCTTTGGGTTTAGGGCTTCGGTCTTTCGGGGCTTCGGGTGTTCAGGCTTTGGGGTTTTGTTGCTACCCTTGGCTTTCCTTCCTGGACTCTGCAAAGGCTCCAAGTCTGGGAGCGTCGTTTCTGCTTTAGGTTTCGAGCTCGCAGATGGCGGCCGTGTTTCGGTTTAAGGTTTGGGGTTTAGCTAGTCGCATGGCGACCGGTGTACTATCATGCCCGCGCGCCCCCAATCATCATCCGAAGCAACGAATCTAAACCCAAAGCCCTCAGATGACGCGACCCTTATTGGCTCGCGAGTCTGAGGTCACGCCAGCTGAGCCAGCCGGGTTCTCAGGGCATCATGGGTTTGTTTGTTGAGCTCAGGGAATGTGAAAACGCAGTTTCGGGTTGGGCATGTAGGGCTTTGGCCGGGGACGTCTCTAGCTAATTCCGAAAGAACCTGCCCTGAGTGCGAAGTATGTCAAGTTGGTCTTGCTCCACGAAAGCAATCGGCCCGCACTGTAGTTGGGCCAAGCATGGCTAGGTGTCACTTCAGTCGAGCCAAGCAGGAAGGCAACTTATGCGCTGCCACCGCTGACCGCTTCTTAGTTAAACACCCTAAACCCTGAACCACCCAGCCCAAAACTCAAAACTGTCACACCCTCAAGCTGCAACCCAGGCCCCCACACAGCCCCCTATATAAACTCCAAGCCGTAACACCCTGAAACCAGGTCTGAACCGTGAGGTCCCACAAACCTGATACAGCAACCTTAATGATTAGAATAGGCGGAGGGGGTATATTATTCTATAACTATAACTATAATAAGGAACCCCCCCAAACCCTATTCTAACTATCAAGGCCCCTACATTAAGGAACCCCCAAAACCCTATTCTAACTATTAAGGCCCCTACATTAGTCCCCTACTGAAGATCGACTTCCGAAGACGGAGATCAGGTCCCTGGAGCATCCTCTTCTTCGGCCTACGAAGAGAAGAGGCAGCGCGGGATCCCCTTAGGCTTTCGGGCTTAGTGTTGGCGCGGGATCCCTTTATAGGCTTTCGGGCATAGGTTTAACAGTTTGGGTTCTTTATCCTTTAAAGCCGTGTGCATTGTTGGGACGCATGGCCAGACATGGGTGGTACCCTAATGAAATATTAGGTGCCGTAATTATTGTATTAGGGACCCAAAAAGGGACCCTAATTTTGACAACCACTCACATGTAGTAGGTACTCCAGGGGCCCTTCATTTGGACCCTCTTCGGCCCCGTAGGCGGCGAGAGGCGACTTGCTAAGGATTGTGACTTCGACTCAGCTACTACCCCGACTACTGCTGCCATCATCAGCCACATCATCATCACCGTCATCACCATCGTCATCATCATTATTTCGTCACCACCACCATCGTCATATTGTTATTCCTCCTGCTCGTCATCGTCTTTTCCTTCATAACGACCATCATCTTCACTTCTCACCACTAGCAGCACCATCATCCGATGCACACCATCATCATGAAGAATGATGATGATGATGATGACGATGATGATGACGGCGATGATGATGTGACCATGATGATGATGGTGGTAAAAGTGCTGGTGATGGATATTGATGATGATGGCGGTCATGGTGATGATGATGATGATGATGTTGATGCGGATGAAGGTGATGATGGTGATGATGATGATTATGATGATGATGATGGTGATGATGATGTTCGGCAAGAAGGTGCTATACTATTGGTCCTTTCAAAATATACGTGAACCGTTCATGTGTGTTTATTCGTTGGAAGTCTTCAGTTCATGACCAGGGACAGCCGGGAGTTTCAGTATCCGGAGAGTGTCTACGCGGTCGGCGGCTGAGGGCTTCCAGCTGGGGGTTCGGTTCAAGTTCTTGGTCAGGGTACAGGGCCTAGTACAGTAAAAAATAGGGCTGGGATTCCCTATGTTTAACTCTTAAGGATTAAGGCTATTGGGTTTTTCAACTTTTGCGGATTCCACTGTATGGTTTTGGTGTTTAGGGGTGCAAGTCAAGTTCTTGGTCAAGTCAGTTTCGGAGTTCAGCGTTTTAAGGTTACCGGTAAGGGTTTGGCTGGGTTTTTAGGATCCAGGGTTCTGGGTTAGGGTTCCAGGGTTTCTGCCATAGATTTCGAAGGGTTGGTTAACGGTTCAAAGTTCAAAGGTGTAGATCGGGATTAAAGGGCGCAGGGGTTCGGGCTTTGGGGTGAAGGGTGCAAGGATTGGAAACCTTCAGCTGGTCATCCTAGAACCCTTAGACAAAACCTAGACCCCCTAAGTGTTCAGTATAAGGTGCTTGGCAACGACACACCAGTAGCATCCAGTAGCCCATAATGACGAATACGCAGAATAAAAGCAGGCTGGAAGCTTGCTCTTTGGCTACTTGACGAGTGCAGCTGCCACAACTACAGCGACCTTCACACACAACTGCCATGAAGACGACAGATTTGCTCCTCCACAACCTACTACTTACCACCAGTAGCGGCTTCAATTTAGACCCTAAACCCGAAAGCCTGAGCCCCAAAACACTTGAGCTCGGTGCTTCGAGCAAAGCTCAGGTCATGTCAATGGGCTTCCCGCTCGAAAAGTGTATTCAGGCTGGTGGCCTTGGGCAACCAGAGAAAGCGTAGAGGTCTGGTACGCTGCAAGATCTCACCAACAAGGAAATCCTCTCATGTTCCCTCTTCAAATAAGTGCTTACAACAGCCTCTTTCGCTTCTGCTTTTGGTCTGTTCCTGGCTTTTCCATCAAGTGAGTTTCCTTGTCATCTCATTTAGCGGTATAGGTTGCAGCATGGAAGCTCTAGGAATACACTCCATTACAATTTCCCTCAATCAAGGCAATCAGGGCCCTTTGTTGCTCTGGGAGATGCCCGGTGTGCTGCTTCGAACTTCGGGTTCCTAGTAGAAACCTATATATACTACACAGGAGCCGCAAGAAGTGCAACAGTGTTGCAGGAGGCTTTTATGGAATGTTTACTTTAGAGACTGTTAGGAGATACCGTACTGTTTACATACGATTATTGATTATGCCAAAACCCGACGAATCTGCACCAAAGAGAAGCTACAGGCTTGGGTTTCAGGTTTGGGGTTGGAGGCTTTGTCGTCGTGCGCTTTGCTTCTGTTCCATCCATGATTGTACTGGTCAGGACCCGCAATCCTACGCCCTGAAACCCAAAACCACAGAACCCTAAACCCCCAAAACCCTCAACACCCTAAAACCCTACAAACCCTAAAACCCTCAAACCCTTAAGCCCTAAACCCTAAAACCTTCAAGCAACCGTCAATCGCAGACGGGAGGCCTACCATTTGGTGGGCGACAATCCCGAAGGAATTCTGCAGTTCTGCTGCCAGACACTGGGCCAGGAGCTCGCCGGAAGGTGTATGGCTTTGGGGTTTAGGGGTGTGATATAGGGGCCTAAAGTAAATTACCAATGTTTTTTGGAGTTACTTTAGTAATTAGTGCATGATTTAGGCCCCTATACCCTGTTCTACTGGTACTAATTAAGGCCCCTAGATAAATGCAGTACGCTGTTCGGGTTTGGTGGTGTACGGCTCATGTTGCTGTTGTGTGCGTGGCAGCTTCAATAGCAAGCGGCAGTTGCAGCACGAGCATGTGTAGCGGTAGCATTACCAGCAGTCCAGCAGCAGAAGTTTCGGCAAAAAGAAGCATGAGGAGTGCTTACAAACACTGTTTTTTGGAGGTGTACTTGACCATACGTATGAAGGCCCATATATGTCTTTGTTGTTCTTGGGCTCGGGTGAAGTTGTGCGCTGGTTCTTTTGTGCTTGAATTGTTCCGCTTTCAGACCTTCTTTTTGGAAACTTGCTTTGCCAGGAGCTGCTAGGATTAAACCGTAACCGTAAACCCTAAACCGCAAAAAATCAAGCCTCTCTGGGTCCTAAATCTTCCGGACGGACTCGCTATGTTCGAATTTCCGAGCGGTTAGGAGGTTGGCAGCAAAGATGGGCGTCAGTCATCACGACTCTTACTACTCTGACTTTTCGCCGCAAGTGCAATGGAACCAGTTAGACAGTAATTATGAGTAACAGCAGAAGTATTCTCATTCAGAGTGTTAACAATTCCGATGACTACGAAGAGGACTCACGCAGTCAACAGTTCGTCCATTCCGTGTCAACAGAATCACCACCGATAAGAGTCCCTAAATCCTCAACCCTGAATCCTAAAACCTGAGCCAGAAACCACGCTTTCGCAACCAGGTCGATGAGGTTTTTTTTGCGGTGCCATGGCGCTTGCCCGGGGTGAAGAAGGCTTGCAGGAAGTGTGGTCCAATTTCTTGCTGACAGGGACGAATAGACCGAAACAAACCCGGGTCCAAAGGACCTGTGACTAACTAGCTACTTGGGTTCAGGATAGTTGTTCTGCAGGTTAGTACTTGGGGCAGTATATGATGATTGGGTATTGCCCTATCTCCGAGAACCTGAACAACCTAGCATTATCGGGTGCCTCTAAAGCATCTCTAAACCCTAACCCTAAACCCCTAAACTCGGATTGCTCCCTGATTTCTTAGGAGCTCCTTCCCTTTAGGAGGCTGCCCTCCGCCGTCCTTGTAGTATTTTTCCTGGGCAGTGATTATGCGGTGCTGAACGCGAGAACGCGAGTTTTTCCATGATAATCACATGAAACCCTTGTGCAGGGAAGCAGCTACACGCCTATGAACTCCTGCTAGACTTTGACGTCAAGAGCTTAAACAGATCCGATGCAATTTGAGCTTGAACTGTGGACTTCCATCCATTCCTCGCTCTAAGAAACTGTGCCACACTTGCAAGAGGGGTGCGCGGCTCGAAAGAAAAGCAGTGGGAGGTGGCTGATCGACTAGGGGGTGGGAGTCTAGACTTGGGTTCACACCTTCCGGACGTTTATGGGTTTCAGGTTCGGGGTTCAGGATTTAGGACTCAGTGTCTGTTCTTGTTGAAGAACCGCCTCCGAAATACAACGCTCACCCAGTTTGCCGGTCTTTTCTGTTGCTTCTCGGCTTGATGCTACTTCAGCCAAGGCATGCTGACTGAAAGTCTTGCTCGCCATAGCCTCAATGTGTGATCCTGAAGCCGTAATATAGGAACCTGATTAGGAAACCCTGGGTCTTTATTCGGGCTCTTGAAATGTATCCTAATCTGTTGGCCAAGGTTTCTTATTCAGGCATGTACATTATACTGCCATGATCTCTCATGTTACATTCAGACGGCTTCACCGCTAAGACCAAGCAGCGTCGGAAACTGAAAGCCTCGGGTAGACACAAAATCATAGATAATCGAACCTCCAAGGTTTCGGGGTTCCGTAAAAGAGGCCCCATAGCCTCCCTGGGCTCTGAGCCCCGGGAACCCGACTCCCACACCCTAAACCCAAGACCCGAGACCCGAAACCCTACTCCCGAGACCCGAAACCCTGTACCCTAAACCCTGTTCGACAGGGCTTTCGGAGCTGTTCTGCGGTAACGAGAAGGAGCCAGAAAAAAAGAAAAGAAAAAAACATATATATATATATATATATATACACATATATATATATATATATATATAGATCGATAGATAGATAGATAGATAGATAGATATGAGTGTCCCTGGGCCTGCAAGCCCCGAGAAGTCAGGGAAAGAGCGGTTGACACGAAGAGGCGGCCTGTGGACCCTCAGTCTCTCATGGTTTTAGGGTATAGGGTCTAAGGTTTAGGGCTTAGGGTTTTTTCAGGGATTGTGGAGTTTTAGGATGTAGGGCCCGTAGGGTTTAAGGTTGAGGGTTTAAGGTGTATAGCAAGTCTTCTCCTGATTTGCATTGTTACTGTCACGATGCTATTCGGAGATTCCACAGGAGACGTGTCCGGACCTGTTGTGGCAGGGACTTCGACGCTCACGATCGCAACACCTACCACCGCCAATACTGTCGCGTAAGGAAGACGACGCAGTGTTGCCATGCGGGGTCCTGGCCCTTCTTCAATCTTCCTGATGCAATGCTCCTACCGTTCATTGCATGCCACTTGCTAGATGGCAAGTTTCCGAAGGCACAGTGCCGCCTGGACATCCCCTAAAACCCAAGACCCTTCATCGTGAACTTCGGACTGAAGATTCTAGGATTTCGGTTTGGGCTTTGTATTTCGTCGGGCCGTAGGGTTGCGGTTGTGGATCTTTTGTACCCGGAAATGTCAGAACAGCACTGCTCCTTTAACAGCTTGCCTTCATACTCCTCAAGCCGAGCCCGACTCTGTCAACACTAAGCCGTGACACCAAGCCCTCGGTCTATGGCGGAGCTGCACCCTTGGGAAAACTTTCCAAAGGCTCATTGCACTTGGAGGGCCTCAGCTCGGGTATGCAGTTCGCGATTGGCGCTGTAGGTTTCCGGTTCTGAAATGTTCTGAACCCAAACCCCCAAACACTGAACCGAAAGAGCAGGCGCGCGACGTTCAGGGTGAAAGGTTTGGGGTCGGGAAGTAAGGTCTAGGGTTTGAGGAATTCGGGGAACTTGAACTAGAAACTTCGGCTTCTGGTTTCCGTTGCCCGCTTGGTTCGCCTTTTTGTTACCAGCGCTGCGATGGGTACACGAACCTGTTGTGGAGCAGCTCCCATGCGATGTTGTGAACTTCATAACAGTTCCACCAGTACGAGTACCATGCCAAGTCTACACCTCAGAATTAGATTGAAAGACTTATCAACTATTAGCAGTACTGTTAACTGTCAATACCTACTGCACTAGCGACCTTCAAGCACATGCTTGAGTAAACAGTCCTTTTACCTTGACCCTTACAGTAAACGCAAGCCCAAAGCCCTAACCCTCAAATCCTCAATCCTACATACGGCCGTAAGCCTACCCATACCCTCAAATTCTCCATCCCAACCTCCTAAAAGCCCAAACTCTCAAATACTCAGCTCGGACCCCAAAAGAGCCCAAACCCTCACCAATTCTCAATCCGACAGCCCTCACCCCAGAAGCAAACCCCGCAACCGAAAAACTAGGCCCGAAACCCGATTCCTGAAAGCGTCCTGAGCCGCAGAGTCCCCCCAGGGGGCAGCAGACAGGTTGCCCCACTCTCTTTGGGCTTTGCGGATGCTGTGGTTCTCGACCTTTAGGGTTTAGGGGTTAGGGTTTTCAAACGTTTATAGGGGTTTAAGGATTTAGGGTAGGGCTGGGCTTTTGTAATGTCTTTGACGGCTCAGGACATCACGGTTTGCGCGTACGGTCTGTGAAGGTCCTGCAAACCCCCGGCAGCGGGCGTGAAGGGTTTCGAGTTTTTGCTTCGAGTTTGAGCCAAAGCGAGAAAGTTCAAGAAGCTTTTGTGCCCAACGTCGGGTCGAGCGTGGTAAGAAACCGTTCAAACCCCAGCCTTGAAGCACGTGTCTACGGGAAGCTGCACAGCCGTAGCAGCAGCAATAGCAGCAATAGCAGTACAGAGAGCAATATCCACAGACATGTGTTCAGAATGTATGTGCGATTATGTGCCTATATATGTGCCACAAATATTTGTAAGCCGTTGAAATCCAAAATCAGCAGGAAACCGAATCGGGATATCCAGATAGCCTTATGCAGTCGCATGCATGCGACTGCTAAACGGTTACAAGAAGAACAACGCGAAGAACAACAATCGCGCTAGGCCATAAGCGACCTTGAATGTACCTGGCTCGGTTGTTGTTCAGTTCGGCATCCGCAGAGGTTCTGGATTCTAAGAGTGTCACTATCTCGTGAGACCCACGAGGGATTGAATCAAGAACTTATGCACGCATCGTCGAAAGTGCCGTGTCGGGAACAGGGTGCCGGCGGGGTTCCAGCTTTTAATTGGTTTCTTCAGACTTCTGCAGGACACAGTTGCAAAAAACGTTACCCCACTGACTTAGCGCCGAGCCTCAAGTTTACCTAGACCTATATTGACATTGAAGCTGCTCAATCTACCGTGACCGAGATGCCAAAGTTGTGAGGGGTAGAAGCTCCTTTCCCGACAGGACTCACGCAAAGGCTCGAAGTCAACAGTCCTGACCGTTGTACCTGAACATTTTGTCTCATATTCTGCATCCCCGTTTGTGTCGATCTCTGCCAATGGACCCCGGAACGACAACCACCCATGCCCTGAAACAGAGGCCACATTTCCACAGAGCTCCGGTTTAGAGTGCACAGGGTCTAACACCTGGTGCTCCCTCAAACCCTTAAACCCTAAAGGCTAATCTTATAAACCCTAACCCTAAACTCCAAAGGCCTATAGGATTTCCTTTGCGAGGATCTGATCCAGTATTTATACGGGGCTAACAGCTCCAAGCATGTGAGGCCCCACTTGGAAGGCTTTGCACTACGGTGCGTACACTCTAAATCCACAAACCCTCGAACCACTGAACCTGATTCTAACCTAGAGCAACCAGTCTTTGGTCTTTACAACAACGGAATGACGCCAGTAGAGTGGGATTATTGCACCTGGTTTCGCGAGATCAACCGTGAACCCTGAACCTGCATCCCACATGTCAAAACAGTCCAGAATCCCAGACACCGGCTTGCGAACCTTAAACCGTAGCCCTGTCCAGAAACGACCTTTTGTTCGTTCTTGGGCTTTCGAAAGTGCTGCCTAGCCGGCGCCCGGCTCGCACAAATGGCTCCATGGACGCCGAGGTTGGATTGCCCAAACCCGTCAACCCTAGAGCCCCCCAAACCCAAAACCTTACCAGTGAAGAGCACTTCATGAACACGTACTCACACTTTCAGTGCAGATGGATGTCATGTTCAGGAACCAGCCATCTAGATGTATGTGCATGGGAAGATCTGCAGCAGGGTAGATTGCTGGAGAGTGGGGGGGGTTCCCAAGATTAAGGATGCTTTTTCTGGGTCCTGAGATACAGGATTTCGTGTCGGGTTCATGGTGACCAGGCATTCCATGGCCATCTACCGGTTGCGGCCTTAGAGCATTCCGGCTTCTGCTCCTAAGATTCCTTGGTGCAGCGGCTTATGACAAGGATTGAGGGTTCAGGGCTTCCAGGGAATGCCATAACTGGAATGCTTCTGCGGCAAAACCAGCCACAAGAGCAAGCGATTGGCTTGATACTTTTTGTGATTCGGATTTGCTCGGCTACAGAACACAGCTTAGCTCTGTCAGGCTTTGGGTTCAGGGTTCCCCGACCCTCATCGCCTGGACCACGAACTCGTCTTGACCACATGAAAGTCCCACGCCCCCAAATCCCAAACCACGAATCCCCCCAACAAGCCCAAACCTCAAACCCTGCCCGGTTTATGCCTGCCCCAAGTGGGCTGGAAGATGCTCGTTAGACACCCACGCCATCAAGGCATAAATGTTACAATACACACCGGCCTCCCAAATCCCAACAATTACATAGACCTAGACCAGACGAATCCACTCGATACGCACGAGAAGACTTCCAGCTCGAACGGGCGGTGGATTCAGCAACTTGGCTTAACTTCCGTCGCGGTTCCTCTTGTTTTCGCTTTCAGGCTTCATCGCAGCTATCCAGGCTTGAGCTCGAGTCTTTGTGCAGAACGTGCACAAGGGGTCTTATCCTGGAACTGAGCATGCACAGCATTGTACCTCCAGGTGCTGTCGGGGTGAGAGCCAAAACATTGCGAAGTTTCTCTATTGTGTCCGGGAACTTCTTTGGATCTGCCGCAAATGCCATGGCCGCAGCATCCGCAGGGGAGGAGACGAGCTACGGCTTGTCTGATCCGGAGACTTTACTCGACTTCTTGGAAGATGCCGGCATCCGCCTGGTGCGCCTCGAGTACCTGGTCGAGCTCCGTGACTCGGGGAGGCCTTTGCCGCGCCGGCAAGAGGCGGAGCAGGAGACGACGAGCTCGGGACTGCCGGCACTCGTGCAGAGCAGCGAGCTCAAAGCTGTGAAGATTGACCCCACGACCGCCCACATGTCAGTGATGATCCCGCACCCAGAGCCGAGACGGGTCAAAGTCCACCTCGTCTCTATCAGCCACATGTGGGAGAGCATGCAGCATCCGGATCCTTGGAGGTTCCTGGAGGCTCTAGATAGCTATTTCACCATGTTATTGTATTGGAGTAGATCTGTGAATCAGTGTGGCAATGTTGCACGACCACATCTTGTTGCGCTTGCTTCGAGGTTCCAGCTGGATGGAATCGTGGAGGAGTTCCGTCCCCGACTGCTGGATTCTGTGGTTTGGATCTTCTACGACTTCGTTTCCTTGTATCAATACCCTAGAAACGAAGATCAGGACCGGCTCTTCCGCCGGGCGCTCCGCGACATGTTTGTCATGTACTCCCACGACGCCGCGGAAGTCCATCGGATCGAGATGCTGACTCCGACGAGGGTGCGAGAAAGGTGCGTTGCAGCACACGGACCCAAGATCTTCGTTTATTGGGAGGCAGAGCAGAAGATGATGCATGTTCTCATCTCTAAGCTCAAGCGAAACGTGGTGCCGTATGAGCAAAGGGGCTGGTGCCAGTCCGAAAAGGAGTGGTCGGCCCTGCGGACTTGGATGAAGGCCGACAAGCCGGTGCCTCTTCCCCCGGACATGTTCCGGGCACGGATGCAGCAGATGAAATTTACGCACAGGGAAGACTCCGAGGAGGTCTTCAAGCTCCAGGCGAAGGTCTTCCACCAGAAGGCAGCGTCCACAACCAAACTCCTCATCGAAAACTTGGACGCCGGCAAGATCGCCGTTCTGACCGCAGCTTTGCCTTCCTACACCAAGCTCAAAGAGCTCGTTGCCATGGGAAGCCCGGAGAACACCTGGAAAGCCGCCTTGGCCGTGGTGGTGTCAGGTGCCTGCATTGTCGAGATTGCGTGCGAGAATATGCGAGACGAGGATGCCATCGCCTTGTCGGCCGGTTTGTCCACGAAGAAGTGCAGCCACCTGGATCTGGAACAGTTGCACCTAAGGTGCGAGAGGATTGGTGACCGAGGTAGGACTGCTCTGCGGCAGACGATGAACCTCCACGGTGCGAATTTGGTGATCAGCACTCCAGACCGCAGTCTGGGCTATGTAGGGCAGGAAATCGAGCCAGCGATGGCTTCGCAGAGGTGCGTGACGCTGCGCATTTTGGTTTCCAAACGTAGACAACCACCGCTTCAATCGGAAGCTGTTGCGGCCTGTCCCGCTGCCTTGCCTACCCATAACTCGCTATTTGCAAAACTGACCGCCGCTGGACGACTGGATCCGAGGCCCCGGCCAGTGGATGTCGGTGCGGTCGATTCGTTGGAATTGCATGCATCCGCCATGACACAAATCTTGAGCGTCCTGTGCTGTAGACGCAGACGCTTCGATCCGACGTTGAATCCCACGGGGTCCGAGGCTGGTCCGAACAGGGCGGTTCCATTGCATATCTTTGGAGGAACCAAGAAGCAGACGGTGAGAGTCCATTGCTTGGCGGGGTCCAGCTTTGAGCTGGAGGTCAACTCTGGCGAAACTGGGTCGGATGTAGTGGAACGCATTGCAGCCAGAGTTGGCCACCCTGGAGATACACTCGCGCTGACATCCGGTGGTTGTGTCCTCGATCAGCGCCACCCACTGCTGCAACAAGTCGAGCACGAAGAGATCACGTACGTGGTGCGGAGGCTTGGCGCGGGTCGTGCCGCGAGGAGTTGGGAGCGCGTACTCACTGGAAAGCTTTTGTCTGACACAGATACAGCTGCACTGAACGAAACGACGTCGCTCACTTGGAAATCCAACCGTTGGCTTAACCAGGATATGCAGCTACCCCACATGTTGAAGACTCTGATCTTTGGCGGCAACTTCAACCAGAGCTTGAAGGGCATCCAACTGCCCAGCAGTCTGCAGCATTTGACCTTTGATGACGACTTCAACCAGAGTTTGCAGGGCATCCAACTACCCAGCAGCCTGCAGAGTTTGACGTTTGGCAGCGACTTCAACCAGAGCTTGGAGGGGATCCAACTACCCAGCAGACTGCAGAGTTTGAAGTTTGGATGGAGCTTCAACCAGAGTTTGCAGGGTATCCAGCTACCCAGCAGCTTGCAGAGTTTGACATTTGGCTACAAGTTCACGCAGAACTTCGAAAGCATCCAACTACCCACCAGCATGCAGAGTTTGACGCTCGGCGACAAGTTCAATCAGTGCTTGGAGGGCATAAAACTACCCAGCAGCCTGCAGAGTTTGACGTTTGGTAGCGACTTCAACCAGAGCTTGGAGGGCACCCACCTGCCCAGCAGTCTGCAGCGTTTGACATTTGGCTCCAAGTTCAACCAGAGCTTGGAGGGCGTTCAGCTACCCAACAGCCTACAGAGCTTGACGTTTGGCCACGACTTCAACCAAAGCTTGCAAGGCGTCGATTTTCCCAGCAGCTTGCAGAGTTTGACCTTTGGGTTCTTGTTCAACCGGAGCTTGGAGGGCATTCAACTACCCAACAGCCTGCAGAGTTTGACGTTCGGCTACGATTTCGACCAGAGTTTGGAGGGCGTTCAACTACCCAACAGCCTGCAGAGTTTGACGTTTGGCTTTCGGTTCGACCAGAGCTTGGAAGGCACGCAGCTACCCAGCAGCCTGCGGAGCTTGACGTTTGGTGTTGACTTCAACCAGAGCTTGAAGGGCATTCAACTACCTAGCAGTTTGCAAAGTTTGATGTTTGGCAGTCGTTTCAACCAGAGCTTAGCGGGCATCCACCTACCGAGCACTTTGCGGAGTTTAAAAATTGGCAGAGCGTTCGACCAGAGCTTGCAGGGCATCCAGCTACCCAGCACTCTGCAGAGTTTGACGTTCGGCTACGATTTCAACCAGAGCTTGGAGGGCATACAGCTACCCAGCAGCCTGCAGAGTTTGACGTTTGGCGGGAAGTTCAACCAGAGCTTGGAGGGCGTCCAATTGCCCAGCAGCTTGCAGAGTTTGACATTTGGTAGTGAATTCAACCAGAGCTTGGAAGGCATCCAACTACCCAGCAGCCTGCAGAGTTTGACGTTTGGCTACTGGTTCAACCAGAGCTTGCAGGGCATCCGACTACCCAGCAGCCTGCAGAGTTTGACGGTTGGCGGCAATTTCAACCAGAGCCTGACTGGCATGAAACTACCCAGCGGACTGGAGAGTTTGACTTTTGGCGACGACTTCAACCAAAGTTTGGAAGGCATCCAACTGCCCAACAGCCTACAAAGTTTGACGTTTGGGAGTCACTTCAGCCAGAGTTTGGAGGACATCCACTTTCCTAGCAGTCTGCAGAGTTTCATTTCACATCATTTTAGTGTAGGCAGCCCTTGAGCCCCTTGAGCAGTGATGTGTTGGACAAGAAGGCAACACCCGTTCGCATCCAGTGCTGCTGTTTCGGTGCGGTCCCAACCCAGCCGGTGGGGGTTGGGGTAAGTAGGACCTGAGGGGGGGGGGCAATAATGGGGACTTGCTTCAGACCTTGCGGATATTAGGATCTGCAGGGCAAGGTTGGGCAGTTGCTCAATGGTTTCGAAGCTTGTAAGTTCAAAAGGAGTGACTCGGAGTGACTTTCAGATTTGGCCTAAGATTAGGGCCTAAGATCTGAGCGTCAGTGTTCACTTTGTTGCTTTAAAGGGTTCACTATTGCTAGAGTTCAGCTTCCTACAATGGGTGATCAGCATAGTGGCTTGTGGCAAGCGCAGCGCAAATGGCGAGTCACTTCTCGTTTGTGTTGCAGTTGGCTTGAAGCCGTGCGAAGCACGACAACTTTTTAGTAGGTGAGTAAAGCTTGTGTCACCGATGGCTTCAACGTCTTCGTCGGTGCCCCCCTCTTCCAGCACGGAAAGACCAGCCGGAAGAAACTGGTACAGTTAATCAAACTTGCCATGGCATGGGTATTTAAGTTTTGGGGAATACTGGTGAGTCGTATCTTCTTTACCTGCAGCCCGCATACAATCCCTAATGGTGTAGTTGTTATCATTTTCTTGTCCATTCCTTCATTTCCTCAACTTGCCACCAAGGAGCAACGTAGGAAAGTCTAGAAACGATATACAGTAGATAGCAGGATAAAATAATTTCTGAAAACAGATTCTCGGCAGCAACCAAGGAGAACCCAGCACGAGGAAGAATTACAAAATCCATGGCAGCTTTCTCCGTGCTCGCAGTGAAATAACCAGTCAGGAATATTGGGCAAAGCTCCAGATTGTGCTCAGGAGCTTCGGTTCGAGTATCCGATAGCTCTTTGTTACCTTGATGTGAAGCTTTATAGAGGTAAGCAATCCTAGGTAGGTTTCTGGATGTCGAACACTTTCTTTTAAGAGAGGACCCCATATGCAAGTATCGTTCAAAGGGTTTTAGGGGCCAACCCAGAAATCAAATCTTTATTTCGGGTGACTTTCGATTGCAACCTCGCCGGGCGGCTGCCACCTTAAACCCTAAACGTTATTATAGCAAAATTATAGTCACGACATGTCAGATAGTTGTTTTTGTTGGATGCTTACTGTTACAGATAACGGTAGTGTTTCGGAACATTCCTAGCCCTAAACCCTAACCCTCAAACCTGAAGCCCTAATCCCTAAACCCTTCAAAGCCCTAAACCCCTAAACCGATTAACCTTAAACCCTAAACCCTACCCTAAACCCGAAGCCCCAGGAGCTACTATTTGGCCAACTTCATGGCCGCAGTGGTCCTTTTCGATGCATACTGCACCTTACTTTAATGCTTAAGGTAGAGTGGCTCCCCACAGGTTTTAGGGTTAGAGGGTTTAGGGGTCTAAGGGTTGAGGGTTTTAGGGTCCCCGTATATTCCCCCATTAAACAACCCCGCATTCACTTCCCCACTCTACCTTGAGCACCAGTAAGGCACTTGTCTAGACATTGACGCAACTGCAGCCGAAACGGAGCCGCCACAGCTCTTTGCCTTCCTCTCGGACTGTCTGCGGCAAATAACCTCCGCCACCCTAAACCTTAAGCTTTTTTATGGAGCGTGCCGGAACCACAAAACCCTAAACCCCGAACCCTATAATGGCTAAGGCTTACCGAGCAGTCCTAAAATGGCGCAACTTCAGTTTGCGAAATTTGTGTGATAGTTTCCTGAAGGTGGCCCCAGCCCAGACCCTAACGTGCTCTGGTTCTTAGTTTAGGGTTTAGGGACCCGCCCAAAGGCATCCATGATTTTGGGAAAGAACTCACCAGATACTGGCCAGGACTGTTGCCTCGTGGCTTACACTCTGGAGGTCACCGGTTTGCTGGTGGCATTTGGGGCCAGGGATTTGCTTAGCGATTGGATGATGGTGGTGGACATCATCATTGTCGGCTGCGGTTGGGCTGAGCCTGGGTTCTTGTTAAGGAATTCAATTTAAGTTACCATCATAGGGATCCATAATTAATAACATGGTTTCCTTATCATGGTAACCTACATTAAAAACCTATAAACCCTAAACTCTAAACCCTAATTCCGTAACGAAAACACAGGAGATCATCATATCTTCGGCCGCCGGAAACTTCGGCTTCCGCACTGCCGTGCTGCGCGCGCTGCGGTTGGTCAGGATCTTCAGGCTCATACGGCTGTTGAAGCTCGGCGATGGGGTTCATTTTTGTTTAGATGGGTTCGGCTGTTTTTTGAGGGGTTCGGTAGGTTTAACTAAGTACTATTAAACCATCTTTAGGATTACGGTACTAGTCTAAAGCCTGAAGCATGTTGCTATTGAGTCGATGTTTGAGATTAGGGCTTATGGGTCAATTGTTGTTGCCATGCAAGACCTTGCCAAGCCCACTTCTCGACAATTCAGCACTCCAATGCGGAGACAACGTGTCTTGTATGGGGCTATGCAGGAAGAGATGGACTTTAGGATTTAGGGCCTTTTTGGGTTTTGGGTTTGGGTCCAGGGTTTAGGGTTCAGGGATTGACACTACCTGACAGTAAGTGTTGCCACGATGGTTAGTAACAGTTCTAATAGCCCCTCCGTAGGACCCTATGAAGGACATTTACTGTAACGGGGAATGACCCAAGAGATATAGAGACTGCATGGGAACATATTGCGATCACTGTTAAGGGTTTCGGGTTCGGGGTGATCTTCAAAACTCTGGGTTCATATGAGCTATGCCACGTGAGTTCCTTCACGCCAACCTGGTGCCCTTAACCGTAAATGCTGTGCCCTAGTTCTAAAGCCTGCAATCCAAAACCCGAAACCTAAACTCTCTAATGTGGTATATACCTCTTTCACCCAGACCCCCCAAGGTTCCAGAAAAATGGAGCCCCTAATAATTCATCCCCTAAGGCCCAAAGTGTAATCATGGCTTCGTTTTTGGGGGGGCTTTCATTTGATGGATCCTTTAGGGTGTCTGGGTAAGTTTTTTTCACGCGAGCCCAACACAAGGAAGAAGATTCGCCCACTGCGGGAGCTGCACAAGCTGGTGCCTGCTTTCGGGGCTGAGCGTCAGTGGGTGTAAGGCGGTTAAAAGAGGATGTAGGGAGTTTTACAGACCAAGGGCATAGGGGTTTTTAGGATTTGGGGGGGTCTTGGAGTCAACGGGCAGGGCAGCTACAGTGCCTCCAAGGTTATCGCCTAAACACAGAGTAGGCGAAGAGCACGCGCTTTAAGGGGCCCCATTCCGATTCTGCAAAGATTTTCGTTTGTACATTGCATGCCAAAGATCCTACCCAGTTTGTCAATGCCTCCCTATTTCTGGTATCGCTGCCTGACCATTGGTTTTCATTCTCTGTTGCCGAGGCACGTTGAGCTAACTCTGAAAGGCTTCGCATTCTACTTTACTTTACGGAAAAAGTCATAGCAGATCGGGCAAAAGACTTGCTGATGTAGTCGAGTATTATAGGGGCCTAAATAACTACCTATACTATGTTGGGGGGTTCCTTTTTGTAACTACTCTATAGCGGGCCCCCAGACCCTACTCTAATTATGAAGGCCCCTACAGTAGATGCTGGTGCGTTGACCTCTTTATCGGCCCTCACTTCAATCCCTCGAGCTATTACCAACCCTTCCAGTCGAGCCAATATGGGAGTTTCTAAAAATAGGGGACCATAATTATGGAGCCCTTAAAATGAGGATCCTCCGGTACTATATTAGGGTCCCCTGTTTTCGGAAACTCCCATATGTGAGACTCAATCAATGAACATGACGCCGAACTGTTTGCTAAGGCATGCAAGTAACCGTGAGGAACACCAGATACAAAGGTTAATCACTTGGAACAGCGAGCACCGAAGCTTAACTGTGCATGACCATACGCATGGCGATAAATTGCAATTACCACAGCAGCCTGATTCCTGCGACGCTCACTCGGACAACAGGTTGAGGCACATGACTCATCGGGGTCTAGGCTCTATTGGGTATAGCTGCTTGATCAAGATTGGTTTGTTTCTTTGTGTTGCCGTGCTGGATTGCAGGAGCTCTGAGCCAGCCGAGCTTCGTAGTTTTTAGCACCGTTCTACATTCAAAGACTAGTCCAGTCTTACGTAATATCTACTGTAGAAGTCGAAATAATTGCAGCCATTATCCGCTGGTAATCGCCACAGAAACATAAAAAAACATGACCCAACAATTCTGTTCTAAGTAACGAAGGCCCCTATTATAAACCCCTACATAGCCACAGTTTCTTCATTTTCCATGTTATTTTCAATTCGGTTCTCCCCACTTTTGGGGAGCATAGTAACAAAAGTCACAACAGTACAGACAGGACTGCGGTGAGGGCCCAGTAGGCTGGTATTATGCACCGCATAGCGTTGCGCACTTAGGAGTTCTGATGTTTCTTGGTATGTGCTCTCTCACAGTTTTTCCTACTTGTCTTAAACATAATAGGCTGCAGCTAGTAAAAGCATTGCTTGTCGTTTCACTGTCTCAGCTTCAGCACGGTGTGCTTATAAACATGGGGCTTGTTTACAAACATGGGTGAGGTTTACAGCCAAGGGCCCCTTTTTTTAAGCGTAAACACAAGATGCCAGCAGAGAAACGTGAACGCGACAGCACGACATACCAAGACTTTGGAGTGGCGGGGAGTCAGAGGGAGGTCTTGACGTGCGTCACTCACAACCGCCACCCCGTCGCCCCCCTTCCACCCCCTCCCACTGCATCTTCCGCATTCAGGCAGCTTACCAAAGTTGAATGAAGTGAGTTGTACGGTGTGGTGTCGTGTATGTGTAGCGCAGCGCAGCATAGCGTAGTGTCTATTTTCCGCTTTTCCGTCAAAAAGTGGTGTCATTGTCACCACTGCTTCTGCAATATCCACGTATACGGATGCAGTGTAGTGTAGTTTATATCTTCCGTCATGCCGGCTTCCTCCATCCAGATACTGGGTATTCTCCAATGGTAGTGTGACCTTGGACTTGGTGCTGTATGAACCTCCAGCAACAACTATACCTCTACCTCACAAGCATCTTCAGCACCTTCAAACTCGAGTGGCCCAGCAGATACTGGCAAGAAGATCCTGGCCACATTCCTGGATTCAGAAGATCCGAAGCACATCGATGGATTCCGCGAGAGGCCTGGAGAACTATATGTGCTAGCGCTTCTCGACGATCCTCTGCTTCCTGGATGAATATGGAGGATCTGAAGTCATTCCTCGACGTGGCGAAGAACACCTTGGTTGACGCCCGCTGTAGGGCCGCCAAATTCGTTCGCAATCAAGTGTGCGCATTATTATACTCAACAACGACTGGTGGGCCAAGAAGGAGCCAAGGATACGAGACCGGCTGGAAGGCTTCCAAAGACATGTTTAGCCCTGCTGTCAACAACGCCCCTCCTCGCCACATGATGGCCATTTTGAAGCGATCCTCGGTGGTCATTGTGGGAGAGTTGGGAGTGAATGTTTATTTGGCGAGCGAGCACCCGGACCAGATCATTCACCGGTTTGGCTCCTGTTCTGTGCTGAAGGCTAGGTTGAAAACCATGAAACATGTTTACGGACCCTAGCGGGACGGCCAACACGTCAAATATCCAGGCTATCAGGAAGCTCTTGAAGCTGAAACCAACCTGGCAAGCGCCTTGTTTGCCTTTCATTCCGAAACGGAGGATGTGGCGCGAGGACGTTCCAACCATCAGCTTGTTGAGGCCTACGGAGGGACCCAGGCATCATCATCGTCTCTGACCACGCCAAGATCGAACACGTCGACAGCAGTCATCAACAAGAGCCTAGGCCTAGTCATAGCAACAGAAGATCCTGCCACGCACCAGCGAGGAAGACCCAGATGAAAAGGCAGCCGCACTCACACACTCCTCAGATTCATCCGATTTTCGTCGGGGATGGATTCATGTGTTACTATGCCCCAGGCGAGCTCGATTTTGAGAGCAATCCTCTTGACCACTTTGGATGGCAGTTTGTTCTGGACCCAGGCACATGCATGGTACCCTGAGCGAGCGAACAAAATCAAAACGAGAACAACGAGCCAAAATCAAGTTCGATGCTGCTGTCCTTGCACAGCCTGTTCTCATTCATGGCGATGTTTGTCACTTTGTGCAGTACGGCACAAGTTAGTCGGTTTCGGGGGCATCAAATTATATGTGGTGGACACTTTCCATGCCCGGAATCCCCAATGTAACAAGCGCGCTACAGCTCAGGTCCTTGTAAAGGGCGTGGCAGAAATGTGCGCACCAACATAGCCGAGTCGTTAAGTACTTGGGCGCGTGCCTTAAACTTCTTCTTCAACGGACTGCAGCCTCAGTCTAACAAGCCTGTCGTTTCATTACGACAACCAGGGGGATGCGCCCGTGAGAAAATGCCGGCTTCATAACGAAACGGTGACATCTTACAAATAAATGCTCTGTGCCAATCAACTTTGACGACCAACCTATTAACAAAACGTGGGCCCTGACAACAATCCCCTCCCAGAAAGTAGTCATGATGATAATAGCAATAAGAAAGTTTTACTCATCATCATCACCATCGTGATAACAATGATACTAGTAGGCCCCGTACTGTTCTCAGCAGCCCTAATATAATTTTCCATTCCCCTGTATGACACCGTTTACATATCGAATTGACCGTCCGTTCATGCAACTACAATTTCTGCTGGGGCACCAGACCCAAGCCGCTGGGAGGATTGAGCAAATGCTGTGGGGGCCTATATAAGCGTCTTAACTAATTCCAATGGAGTCAATCAGTCAATTGGGAAGTTTCATAAGCTTCTACAATAGACTCCTGTCATGGATTCCGGTAAATGTCAATTATCGGATACGGCTTTGTATGGTGCCAAATTCCCATAGACCTTCTAGCCTAAGTTACCGTGTGGCTTTCTGTCTCTGTCCAGTGGTATGGCGAGAGGTGATGATGATGGCCACGTGTTTCAGGACGCTGCTGTGGTCATTTTTGTTGCTGGGCCATTATTCTGATGACATTTATGGGTTTTCTGGTTGTGGCTCACGATAATGAGGTCCCTTCTGCATCTTGACCATAAGAACACGTACCATACATGCTGTAGTCAGGGATATGTAAAACGGTTTTACTTTCCATTTAATCTTTCTGAGAAAAGCAAAGAAGAGCGACACTTCACATTTCTCCTGTGATCAGCCGGCGCAAAGGTTATGTTTTCTGGTGATGACGGTCTGGGCTATGTTAATGGTGGAAACTGTGAATCCTTTCGTGCGGGACATGCACGCAAGTCAGGGCGTTTTTGAGGATTGTCCGCAATGCAGAAGAGCAACATCTTCGGCCCCTTGGTGTCATTGAGACTGCTTGTTTTCGGCTTGCCACATGATACATGTAACGTATTAGCTTTACCCGTGGGTGCAACATTGGTCGTTTCGTTTGGAACCCGCTTTGTTATGAACCGTTGCACTTTCCTGTGTTACGGCATTAGCATTAGCAAAAGACGAAAGGTTTGCATTCAAGTTGGCCATGTGAGCCAATCGTGTTCGGACAGGGTGGATCTTCCTTAACCCTGGAGCTTTGGAATAAAAACCCCATGACATCATTTATCCCCTAAAGGGACCCGTTGTTTGCAGAGCAGTTTTTATCGTTCGCAAATCATAGCGGAGAGCCCAAGGTCATGGATGCAAATTTACTGCTGTTCAAAACGGTCATTGCTGGTGACAGCTGGGGCGAGGTTGCTGTGCCAGTGATTCAGGCTGGGGAGAGTTACGAACATGAAGTTCAAAATCCATCCTGAGAGGCACTACTAAGTTTACTAAGTAAATTACCAATATTATGGGTCCAGGTTATACAATAATGTACTTCAAATGGACCTCAAAATGAAACGGGTAACTCTTCAGACCCCTACAACACCCTACGGCGCTGTTGAGGTTTCATTGTCCAGGGGGGCGCGGGCATCAGGCATCAAAGATGGCATAAGTGAACGCCTGTCCGTAAAACCAAAACCCGACAGTCCCTGTAATAATGCCAAAGTATGGAAGTGCTAAGATCCCCATAAATCCTGTACACTATCTAGCTGAATCTAGCTATGGGGGAATGTAATAAGACCGTAGGTCCCAAACCCTCAGCCCGACATCTCTTAACCCTAGCCGTTTAGCTTGCGCCCTAGACCTTTAAACCTTACGCTCGTATGGACCCTTGGCTTGCCGAAGGTGGTGGTAATAGTGACATCGCTCCAGTGATCGTCGCAGCCGTTCGGGGAAAAGGGCTGTAGCGTTTAGGTTTAGGGCTTAGGGGCTAAGGGCCTTAAGAGTGTATATAGGGCTTAGGATACTAGGGTGTAGGGTTGAGGACTTAGGGTTTCTCCCAGTCAGCTGGCAGGCACATCCAGCAACTGCCTTCATCTTCGTCGGCTCTTTGCTGACGTTGGTTTTTGGAGTTCTAAATCTCATCGTTGCTTGGTCGGAGTCTTTAGTAGTGTTGATGATGCTAGTGCTCTTGCATGACTGCAGTATACCCTAATTCCATAAATCCCAAGGTTTAGGCGGTTTAGGGTATTTAGGGTCATGCAGGATCTCTGCATAAGTTTGAAAAACGGTAATTGTCGGCGGAGGGCTTGGTGTGTGAGATTGTCCTTCAGGTCTAAGCTGTACTTGCAGGGATTTTGGGGGCGGGCTAAGTAAGGGTTACCGGTATACTTACATGACTTTAGATTCGCTGGAACGGATTCTGCCCAGTTTCTCAAGTCATGTTGCATACCCACCGAGACGCTTTTGTGGGGTTCTTGAGCCTCCAAGGAGCAGAGGCAAGAGGAGAGCTTTCTGGGACAAGCAGCTAGAGAACATGGTGGAACGACTGAGAGTTTCTCAACAAGTCTCGGCCCCATTGCAAGTTCCCTGTAGCAAGGGATTCGACAGCCGCCATGCAGCAGGGAGGAGGAAGCAGCTGCAACAGTTGCCTTCCAATCCATACACCATGCCCGACAACAGCAACAAGAAACACCCCGTGAAAGTGGAAGGGAAAGTGTTATAGCATCTTTCACGTTCTCCTCCGTTCGCAGTGAAGAAAGTTGGGAGATGCTCCGGTAGTAGCCAGGCCGCAATTAGAGGGGACAACAGCAGAGCGTGTCTGGTCAGCGGGCGTCCTCCGTAGCATCCCCGTGATGCGGGAACAGTGCTCAAGCTACGTGCTGCACTCCTTTTGTCGCGCGTTGCTGTGATCCCTTGGCAGCCAAGCCATGAACATGAACATCCCAAACAAAACGTCGCTGACTTGGGCAATGCCCTTTCCGGCGGCGACACACAGGGTGGCCAGCTCCGGGTGCAACGTGACATGTGCTAAACAAGCCTCCATGTCCAGTGTTGGTCAGATGCACATGTGCAGAGACGCGCCGTGATCTGAAGGCTCACAGGGATGGGAACGCGTTGATGAAAAGAGCCCTGAGACCGTGCGAGGGGTTCTGTGTTAGATCCAGGCTCCGCTTGATAGGCTTCGATTTGCATTGGTAGCGACCGCCCGGTGACACGTTCCCCGGTTATGGCTGCCTTTTTCGATGCTGACCTGTTCGACTTCAACTACATGTCTGCTGAAGGCGGAGGAGGCACCGAGACTGGCGCCGTGGGCGCTGATGCTGGCGACGTTGATGACCAGGACGTTTTCCCGGGCACCGGCGCGGCATCGAACTACGACGACGAGGACGACGAACACCTGGAGGATGACGATGCTGGCGGCTCCCGAGCGACCAGTACCTTGTCAGGTGATCCTTCGGCGAGACGCAGAAAGAGGGGCTCTCGCGGAGGGGCCAAGACACCGGGCAATTCTGCCCCGGCTTCTACGACGCCACGTTGGCGCTCTGGTGCGGTGCCGACTGCACCCAGCTTCGACGGCGACATCGAGGCTCAGCCGTACTGCCTTCGACACTACCGGCGCAGGCTTATGCGCTGGGTGAGAATCACTCGTGAGTTTCTTCCTCCGAATGAGCAGGCTTTGAGGGCATTAGAACAACTACGAGGTGAAGCCGAGCAGGAGTTCGAGGAGATCGACGACTCAAAGTTCGACCACCCTGACGGGATTTCTCGCTTGCTGGCGGACTTGGAGGTCTCTTTTGGCGAGAGAGAGATCTTTCGCCAAGGCGGCTCGATCAGGGAGTTCGAGTCGATCGGCCGAATGCAGGGCGAAAGCATCACTGCTTTTGTCAGAAGGTTTCGCTTGCTGGAGCGAAAGTTGGCAGACAACAAGGTGCCGCCTTACCCGGAGCAGGCCAGGGTCATTAAGCTTCTCGATGGCCTACGGCTCGATGAGAAGAGCGCGTCAGCTCTTCTTTTGGCGGCTGGCAACAAGTATGACATGAAGGCGATCTTGGAGGCCATCCGCATCCAGTATCCCGCCGGCATGTCTGTTACAGGGATTCCCAAGGGACTGGCTTCCTTGGCTACATCGTCGCGTTCATCGACTGCCTCCCGGTCTACTGTGCCTTCGCGCTCCTCGGCTTCCTCTACGAGGCGTGCGCCCCGAGCTCGTGGACGTGGCGGCAGATGGACCCAGTGGCAAACTGCCGCTGAGGATGATTATGCTGAAGAACCACAAGGTGAAGAATGGCCAGAGGATGAAGCTGAGCCTGCGGAATCACCGCAGGAAGAGCAGGACGAGCCAGGTGACGGCGAGTACAACGAGGAGGCTGAGGATGACGGCACCCAGGAGACTGCAGAGGCGGACACCTGGGAGTATGAGGACGCCACGAACGAGGAGTATGACGCCCTCTACACGATGGCCCAGGCCTTGACGGTGACTTCGAAGAAGCTCTCGAGCATGATGCAGGCTCGCGGGTTCTACCACGTGGACCCCAAAGGCAAGGGCAAAGGCAAGTCCGTCCGCGGCAAGGGCAAGGGCAAGGGCAAAAGCAAAGGAAAGCTTTCTCCGAAGGGCAGCAATCCCACGATCCCGAAGGGCAAAGGCAAGACCAAGGGCAAAGCTGGCTCTGATCCGCAACGAGAAGCTCGATTGCGGGGTGCTCTTTGCCTGGGATGCGGCTCATCCGAGCACTGGGTGAAAGACTGCCCGACGATGTCGACCTTCCAGGCCCAGCTAGCGACGGCCAATGTGGAGATGGATCCAGAAGGCAATCCCTTTGTCTCCTGGATGATGACCGCGACGCCTGCCGAGGATAAGTTGGAGATCTGCTACGAGGTCCCCAGACCACCGCCGGTGCTTCTCACAACGTGCCAGGATGCTTCGTTCTTGATCACTGACACTGGCTGCCAAAGGCAGGTGGCTGGATCGGCTTGGCATTCGCAAAAAGCTGCTGAGATCGCTCCACTTCGCAGGCTCACTGTTCCAGAGGCTTGCAAGTTCAGCTTTGGTCCAGGCCCAGGACTCCCGAGTTTAGGACGACATGTCTACCCTGCTGGCATTGCTGGACATTGTGTGCTTCTTGCGGTGAGTGAAGTCAGTGCTGCTGCTCCGGGGCTACTTAGTCGTCGTACTCTTGAGGCATTGGGAGCTGTACCTGACCTAGTTGAAGGGCGAATCGTTTTCAAGGCGCTCAACAATGCAGTCACCAAGCTTTACTTGTCCCCTTGTGGCCACCTCGCTTTGAAGATTGATGAGTGGCCCCCGCATGAGTTCGCTTGGCCAATGCCTGATTGTCCACCTTTTGCCCTGACCGGACCTCCTGATGCATGGTGTAAGGGCGCCTTCTCGCCGAAGCAGGTGAAGCTCGAGACGTTTTCATCCAATTCGATTTCGCGCCCTCCGCCTCATGCCGCCACCATCATGGCTTGTGCGCTGGCAGATGCTGATGGTGCGCTTCCTGGAGTTTGTGACCACGGTGTGCCAGACCCTGCTGCACTACTCAGCAATCTCTCTGCATCCGAACTTGAAGGACGCAGTGCTCAGGCACTTCGCACTCCCGAGCTCGGCGGCAACCATGCTCTCTACGACGGCGGCAATGGCGGCACAGAAGGCTTTGGGTCAGGACCGCTACCTGAAGTCTCCGGAGGATTGCCATCACCCATCGGGTCTCCGGAAGTACGCGGCCTCAGGGATGTCCATCATGATCTGCGACGTGTGCGGATACAGGGCAGTGGTGAACTCCACGACCGGCAACCTCGTACCGGCGACTCCGAAGGCCACCCCGAGTTCGAAGACGCCGCCCCGCAAAAGCAAAGGCCAAGACCGTCGCAGCGGCCGCGCCCAGGATGCAATCCCCAAGCTCCTTGCTGCCCTCCTCAGCGTGGTTGCGGGCATCTGGTCCGTCGGTGGCAGCGGGACCCAAAGCCAAGCTCAAGGCCAAGGGACCACCGCCTCGAGCGCCTCCCCAGATCTACGCGATGGACTCGGATGGCTCTCAGAGACCGAGGCAGTGGCGGGCAATGAGCCGTGGATACGACTCGGACAACATGAGTGTCTCGAGCAGCCAGCCCCCGGCTCCGGATCCACCCTTTCGCTCCTGGAAGGAACAACGTCAACACTGGCGACAACAGGGAGAGGAGCTACTGGGGCCGGACCTGCTGACTCCGGCGTTGGGCATCGAGCCGGAGGAATGGGAGCTTCAGGACTGGCAGGAGGACATCCTCGCGGACGAGGAAGCCCAGGACGAGGAGCGCCAGGACACGGAGGAGTTCGGCGGGGAGTACTAGGTCGAGTTCCTCTACTTTGGGGCTCACCAGATGATCCGCTGACGACTGAGGACCGAGGCTGCTTCAGCTTGAAGCAAGGGGACAGGAAGCGATTGAAGGGAGCAGCCCGGAGTTTGAGCTCATTATGGGAGACGGAAGCTGGTGTCTATGAGAGTCGAGCTCGAGCGGGCCGTTTACTTCGCAAGCATCGGGCTGATGTTGTCGAGGTCTACGGTGGCCATGCCCACTTCACTGAGTATGCCATCGATGCGGGCCTACGTGTTCTTCAGCCCATTGACGAGATCTACGGCCAGAGCTTGCGTACCAAGGCGGACTTCGACCACCTTCGGTACTACCTCCTCAAGTGGCTGCCCTTTGTCGTGGTTTGGGAACCACCGTGCACATGGTGGTCGCCTGTTCAGCGCCTCAACTACACCTCCGACGAGCTCAAGGAAATGAGGGCACAACAGGAGCGAGAGCTGAAGCACATGGTTGATATCATCCTCGAGCTCCGCACCTACGGGGTTCACTTCCTGCTCGAGAACCCCTACGGCACGCCCTTCTGGACTTGTGATGCTCTGCGCGAGCTGATGGCCAAGCCCGAGGTCCAGCTTCGTAAAGGCCACATGTGCATGTTCGACATGCGCACTCGACAAGGGCAGCTTCTCAAGAAGCCAACAGGCTGGCTAAGTGACCTCCCAGAGCTGCTGGACTCCCTTGCGGTAGAGTGTGATGGCTCTCACGAGCATGGTCAATGTTTGGGCGGCTCCGTGACAAAGCAGGCCCAAGTGTACCCGCCAACTCTGGCACGCGCCTTTGTGAATGGCGTGCTCCAGGCTTTGCATCGATGTGGGGATGAGCGCTTTTGTACCAATGTTCAGGCGCATGCCAGCTCCATCGATCAAGTGGACACTTGGCATGCGGATGGAGAGACTGTCCAATCGGTCTACTTCCTCGACATTACCCGGCACCAAGAATCGTGGCTTCCCCTTCTAAAAGAAGCAGAGTCCCGGCTGAAGGATTTGGTTTCTACGACGGTGACCTTGAAGCCATCGCCTTACCTGGAGCAGGTTCGCTCCCTGGTGCCGTGGACTCTGAGCCGCGTACAGATTTGCCGCACGCCCAAACAGCGGAGAGTGCCGAATGATGTGCTGATGGAGGGTGCCACTCACCGCGGCGCCGTGCTCTTGATGAACGACGCCACTGTGGTGATGGAGGCCGAGGTGTTGAAGAAGGTCCTCAGCTCCCCCTCGGCCAAGTTCGATCGTCCTGTTAAAGTGGGCATTTTCTTCTATGGTGTCGCCCCTTCAACAAGCTTGAATGAGGAGGACGACGCTAAGCCTGAGCCTGCCAAGGCCCCAACTCCAGGCCCAATGCAGCCCGACGAACAGGACGTTATGCGCCCCCATGAGCCCGGCTACCGCGATATCTCCTTTCCGGGCGTCACCGATGAGGTGCCCAGATGGATGCGCGGAGTTCTACGACGCCTACGTGTGAATCTGGGACACCCGGCAAAGGAAACCCTTGTGCGGCAGCTGGTTTTGGCCAATGCTTCAAGTCTGGCCATTAAAGGTGCACGTGCCCTTCAATGTGAAGTTTGCAGGCGGGTGGCACCACCTCGAGAACCGCGACCCGCTCGCGCCTTCCATCCTCGAAGGTTCAATGACCGGGTCTACTGTGACATCCTTTTCCTGAAGAATGTCCAGGGTGTGCAACACATGTACTTGAGTTGTGTGGATGATGCCACGTGTTACCATGTTGCGCAAAACATCCCCGACCGCCAGGAGACCACGATTATCAAGGCTTTGGTCGGTGGGTGGCTTTGCTTCTTTGGTGCACCCGATGAACTCGTTCTGGATGCTGAGGGAGCATTCCGAGGACTCCGCTTTGAGACCTTGCAGGTGCAGTGTGGCACTCGCATCCGGTGCATTCCTTCGGATGCTCACTGGCAACTTGGTCGTGCCGAACGCCACGGACAAGCTTTACGTTTTGTGGTGTCCCGGCTGGTGAGCCAATTTGCTCCGACTACTGTGCCGGAAATGAACCTCTGCGTGGTGATGGCCACGCATGCGAAAAACACCCTTATCCGACGTGGCGGGTCTTCGCCCTGCCAGTGGGTGTTCGGCAGACAGCCGAAACTGCCGGCTGCTTTATTATCCGACGGCGGGAATATCGAATCCTGCCAGCTCACCTCCGACAGCGAGAGATTGCAGTTAATCGAGCGTGTTCGCACGGAGGCCATGGTCCACCACCACCGCTTTGAAGCAAGTCAGAGCCTCCGTACTGCCTTACTTCGCAAGTCCAGGCCCTACCGCGGTCCCTTTGAGGTCGGTCAGCGTATCGCCTACTACCGCGTGAAGAATGCTTTTGATGGCGAAGGTTCTGTCGAAGGCTACCGCCTAGGCACTGTCCTTGCTGTTGACCTCGGCACCTCTGGCAATATCTGGATCAAAAACTCCCGCGGCCGCATTGTGCAGGCTGCTCGTGAGCAATGCCGCCCTGTTGCCGGAGAAGAAGAGTGGTGGACACCAGACCAGTCGGATCTGGACCTTCTTAAAAATACTGACCAGGATTTGCTGCCCAACGAGACTCCTGGTTTTGATGTTCGTGGGCAGGCCCCGCCTGCGGCTGTTGCCGCTCGTCAGGACCAGGCCGCTTTGAATGAGCTCGAGCGACAGGATGCGCCAGCTGTTCTTCTCGATGCGGACGGCAACCCGATCGACTCACCGGCCATGATGAATCCGGTGTTGCTTGTGCCTCCCACTCCAAAAGCGGCCAGGGCACCTTCGACTCCTACTCTGCAGGCTCTACAAGCGCCGGGTACGCCTCGACCGAGAGCTCCAAGGTCTCGATCCCCGGCGCCTTCACGGCTACTTGCTCCACTACCACCTGTACCAGAAGGAGAAGTTCCTGCAGTCGAACCGCCAGCGTCGGAATCTCAAATCGAATCACGCAGGGACTCTGGTTCTGTAGTTAGGAGTGATCCTGCAGTCGGACCGCCAGCTTCGGAATCTCAGATCGAATCACGCAGGGACTCTGGTTCGTTGACCCGTGGTGTGTCTTCAGCTACAGCTAGCAGCACTGGTCTGTCCAAGGAGCTGGCCAAGCTTATGCATCAGGAGTACCCAGAGCTTCGTGGTCTCAAGCGTGCCCCAACTGTCCCCGTCGAGGAGCTAGAACCGAGCCCAGACGCTGCTAGGCGCGCTCCGCTTCAACCAGGACCTAGCATTCCAGAGATGACAGCGCTCCCCGACATTGCGACAGATCCCTTACCGGAGCCCATTTTGGATGCTTTTCTGACCTACTGCCGAGACTGCGGCGAACAACGTCGCGAAGTTCATGATGGTCAGTCCGTTTGTGTTCGGTGCAACAGCACCCACCAGGTGGATAGCCCCTTGCAAGTTCGGTCTTGGTTCGACGAGGCGCTGGAGAGAGATGCTTTTGACACTCACTTCGAGCCTGCCCCCGGATCTATGGCGAGCTCCGTGACGGACCCTTCGCGGACTGAGCTTGACGAGATAGACTACCGCCACAATGTTTCTTTCAACTCTTCGAGTGTTACCTCTTCGCAATTTTCCCATCGCCTTCAGGTTCTACATCGACATGCACGCGGCGATCAACATCATGTCGGCTGGGATGGCAACCCGAAGGAGCTGCAGCTCTATGAGTCGACTGCCTTCCTCACTGCAGCCCATCACTTCGGCGACCACCGTCCGGCTACCTCCTCTACTACCTCTACGAGAAGACAAAACCGTTCCTTGTCGGAGACCGTGGCCAAGCGTCTCCTGGGTGACTGCGACTTTTCTCACGATGCTTGTCACCAGCTGCTCGACACGGTTGATCTTCCGTCTTCCGGCCGACAATGTCTACAAGGCGAAGACGGCAACCAGGCTATGACGCTTGGCCTCTACAGCCACGGCAACTTTTTCGGTTGTACCAAGGCCACTCGGAAGCATCGATGGCTGTGCCGGTACTTGAACGACTACCTCCGCTACCACGGCCTCACGGGATGTACTACCAGTTTGAGCATCAGCAAGAACACCCCTGCTGCCCCACATCGAGACAACCACAATCTGAAGGGCAGCCTCAACTGGCAGATCACCCTCGGCAACTACAAGGGAGGCCGTACTTGGGTCCAGACAAAGGAATCAGACGGTCGTACCGTCAACAGGAACTACTTCGGCGAGACGATTCCTGGCTACCTGTGCAACACCAAGAAGAACCTTGTGTCCTTCTCCCCTGACCAGGTCCACGCCACCGAGGAGTTCCAGGGTGAACGATGGTCCATTGTGGCTTACACGAGCCGCTTGGTGACAGAGACAAGTCAAGCGGACCGTTCACGTCTCTGCAGACTTGGGTTCAATCCTCGACCCGCTCGGACTTCGTACCCGACGACCTGTACTACGGCTGTGGAGTCTAGCGACGAGGAGATCCGCGAACCCACGGCGCAACCCAGTTGGACCAAGCTCTCTGTCTATGAGGCTCACCCGCTCTACGAGTCCGCGGACCAGATGACGAATGCCACCGGTGAGTTCGTGACGGGCATGGAGAACAGCTCCGAGGACGGGAACGACGGCACCTTCGAATCAGGCCGTGCTGCCCGCCAGGCCAAGAAGAAGGAGCTTCCGTGGAAAGCCATGACCGATGAGGAGATACCGCAGTTTAGGGAAGCTCTGAAAGCCGAGTGGGCCGAGTGGACGAAGTGGAGTTCGTGTGTACCGGTTTGGTTGGACCCCAAGAAGATTCCGGCCCACTTGATCCTGAAATCCAGGGTATGCTTTCGCTGGAAACCCAAGGCCGATGGCAGCTTCAAGCCCAAGGCAAGGATAGTGATCGCTGGATTTCGCGACCCACATCTACCGCTCCTCACACGTGATGCGCCGGTTCTGTCCAGGGCTGGCTTCTCGGCCATTCTCCAATGGGCCACCACCTACGGTGTTCGACTGTGGAACGCGGACTGCAAATCGGCCTTCCTGCAGGGGAAGGCAGATACAGAGCGTCCGGAGCCGATCTTCATGAAGCCGCCGACTGATCCCGTCTCCCAGGGCGCCATTGACGAATGGAGTTCTGAGTACTTGCTCTACAAGCTGAGTGCACCAGTTTACGGGCAGGCCAACGCCCCTCGAAGGTGGTATCTGCATGTGGCAGACAAGCTTCGGTCCTTGGGCTGGATGCGGCACTCTCTCGATCCGTGTCTTTGGATCAAGCTCACTCCGTGTGGCACCAAAGTTGGAGCTGTGCTTGGACTACACGTCGACGACATCATCGTTGCCGCGCTCCCTGAGTCCGAAGCCGAGCTCAAGTCCGTTGAAGATGCCTTCGAGTGGGGTGGCCCATGGGAGCACTCGGACTTTGTGTTCATTGGGCGCCGAATCCGGCAGTGGGAGGACGGGACGCTTACGGTTGATCAAGCCAGTTATGTAGCCGAAGTCCCTACGACGAAAATTACGTTGCCTCCTACCACTCCACTGAGCGACCATCCGGAACTGGTGACGGAGTACCGCTCAGGCATCGGCTCTCTACAATGGTTGTCAGGTACGACACGGGGCGACATTTCGGCAGATGTCAGCCTGATCCAACGAGCTCCTCGCGACCTCACCGTCGCCGACCTTCTCGAGATCAACAACGTTCTCCGCTATGTCCGGGCCACGAATGAGACCTACTACCGCGTTGTCCCGGTGCCCTTCGACGAGCTGGTCCTGGTGGCTTACGCCGACTCCGGTTTCGCGAATGCCCCTAACCATCGCTCTCAAGGAGGATTGGTTATCGTGGCCACCGACAAGAAGGTCCTCGAGGAGACACGTCCGGCATCCATGATGGAGTGGAAGTCTTTCCGACACCAGAGAGTTCTGCGATCTACCTTGGCAGCTGAAGCCGCCTCTCTGGACCGCGCCAACGACCACGCCCACTACCTGGCCATGGTGTTGAGTGAGCTGGTGGACCCCAACTTCAAGGCCACGATGCAGGAGCGACCCTTGTTTGGCATTCTCCCGGTCACCGATGCTCGCTCCCTGTGGGACGCCGTGCACAGGCTCAGCTCAGGCCTGCAGGAGAAAAGGGTCGAGATTGACATCGCTGGCTTACGCCAAACCTGCCGGTCGCTGCGTTGGGTTCCTACGGAAGAGCAGAAGGCAGACGCTCTTACCAAGAGGAGCCGAAGCCTCCGTGACGGCTTCAGGAAGTTCATGGAACGACCTATGGTCACGTTGGTGGAGAGTCGTAGCGCAGACAGTGTGGGCCAGGGACAGGCGAATGCCGCTTGGCGCAATAAGGGTGCATCAACCAAAGAAAAATAGAGGAGTGCTAAACAAGCCTCCATGTCCAGTGTTGGTCAGATGCACATGTGCAGAGACGCGCCGTGATCTGAAGGCTCACAGGGATGGGAACGCGTTGATGAAAAGAGCCCTGAGACCGTGCGAGGGGTTCTGTGTTAGATCCAGGCTCCGCTTGATAGGCTTCGATTTGCAACATGAAGCAAATGCAAGGGGCAAAGAAAGCAAACAAAGAGTTCGAGAAGGGCGAGGATGCCAGTGCTCGTGGGGGAGAGTGGCAATAATTGCCAATTACATGGTGCCAGACTCTCTGTGTAATTGTGGTATAGGGCTGTGAAATAGACCCCAACATGATTTCAGTAGTTGTTGAAGCTCCTGAATTTCGTCTGCTACTGGAGTCTCGTTGATTTTCAGAACATAACCAAGATCCCTTTTTTCCATGGCCGCAGGCCACAACCCAACAGAGGCTTTGATGCGCACACCTGCGGGAATGTTTGAAGTTTCAGACCCCAAGTTGAACCTTAGATTCCTGCTGCCGTGTATATTCCTTACATATGCTTGTACAGCCAACTGTAACCACAAAAGGGTCCCGGATTTTGTCGGAATCCCACACATTCTCGGAACAGGTTGCGGTTGTCGTTGACACCTTTGCAGATGCGCGGCTTAACGATGTCCAAACCTTGGCGGAGGAGATGGAGGACGAGATTGACTTCGACAGACATCTTCCCGAAAAGAGAATTTGGGGTTAGGATTTAGTAGGTGGACACGAAGATGGAGATTGGTGTTTCCAGTCTCCTTTACAGATGTGAGAAACACGAGATTGGAACTATGGTTGTTTTGATCTTGTTTTGCATCATCGCACATACTACGTTGTAGTATCTTGGACTGAGGAAAGTCCTTGGCGAAGATTTTCGACAGAATCGACAAGGATGGAAGCGGACAGCTATCTCTGCAGGAGAAAACTCTGGCATGCTCCTGTATATCCCTATATATGAGCTACTGTCAATAGTAGCCTCACTAGGGATGTCCCGAATAAGGAACCCATGTCCATTGAATTATGTAGGAAAGACTGCTTGTGGCTCATATATGCAGATAGGTTAAGGGGGATCCCATAAGTTAGGGGGTCCTCTTCTGGGAACCTCCGTAATGACGAATATAGGGGCCCCTGTTTGTGGAAACCCCCAATTGCCAAGGGTATCTCTAGAAGAGTAGCCGATCCCCTAAACTCTGGAATGCCCAAAACCCCCCAAACCCTGAACTCCTACACTCCTAAACCTTGCACTCCTAAAGCCCTAAATCGTAACACCCTAAACTCGTAAACCCTACACTCCTAAAGCACTAAATCCTAAAAGCCTAAACCCGAAAACCCTCAACTCCTAAACCCTAAACTCCTAATGCCCTAAATCCCAAAATCCTAAACTCCTAAACCGATTTTGCAGGAACTCATTGAAGGAGCCCGCAGCGATCAAGATTTTCAAAGCCGCCTCCGCGTGATGGACGCTGGGCTGAAGAGGGTTTAGGGTTTAGGGTTTTAGGGTTTAGGGTTTAGTGTTAAGACTTGGGGGTTATAGAGTTTGACTTAGGGTCTAGAGTTTAGGAATTAGAGCTTATGTAGGGTTTAGAATGTCGAATGGATGCTGGGGTGAAGTGAGCAATGGGCTCAGGATTTTGAGTTTAGAGTTTTAGGGCTTGGGTTTAAGATTCATGAGAGCTTAGGGCCTTAGGGTTTATGATTTAGAGTTTAGTGTTCAAGTTTTTGGTTTACAGGATAGGACTTGGAGTTTAGGGTTTGGGGCTTAGGGTTCAGGGTTTAGCGGTTGGGGGCATAGGCATTAGGGCTTGAGTTGAGGGCTTTGGGGCTTAGGGTTCAGGGTTTGGGTTTTAGGGTCAACTGTAACAAGCCCAAATTCAGTAATCCCCTGATACTAATCGACTAATCTTGTTACAGGAGACACAATTAATTAACAGCGAAGGCATGTTCACGATTGCAACTACAACTGAACCAAGTCTTTCTCGACCAGCCGACTCAGAAATGCTTCGGTGAACGAAGCAACGAGGATCTTGACCCTAAGCCCGAAACCCTCAAGAGGATATCGACGAGTTGACCCTATACCCGAAACCCTAAAGAGGATATCGACGAGCAAGATTTGGAGCAGCTCTTCCACATGATAGACCAGGATCAATCCGGAACTATCGAGGTGACAGAGTTCATCGGCCCCCTGTCCCGGGGCTTGCATCGGTGATAGGGTTTAGGGTTTAGGGTTCTGCTTGGGTCTTCCGGGTTTCTACTATTACTATGCTGTATGGTATGGGTGTTTATCAAGATTGGGGTCTCCCTATCAGCCTGGTAGAGGCCCAGAACCCTTAGCCTCCCTCCGAAACCGTAAAACCTAAACCCATTTGGGGTCGCCGAACATCCCAGGTCCCGGTGGGCACATGACTCCAAGACGGCCCCCCGCTTTATCAAGTATAACATGCTCCAGGCAGGGGTTTGGGCTTTGGGATTTCGGGTTTGTGGCTTGGGGTTTATGGCACCCAAACACAAACAACATTGAAAATCTTTAGCCGCCCACTCCTTTGAACCCTACGCTCTAGCACATCCTTAAAGCCCGAAACTATCGACGACTTTTAAGCACTAAGCCACTTACAGTGTTTGTGGCGTGCAGGCAATGCACCTCCAGGAAGATCTTTACGATCTTGCCGTGGGGTCCTTCCAGCAGTTGGCAGCCAGGATAGAAGACTTGTCTCATCAAATCCAGGTTGGAACTTCTCACAATCATCAAGTATAGAAGGGCCTTAGGGTTCATAAGGGCCCCCGGTAAGCCCTCAGCTCTAAACCCCAACCCCTCAACTCATGATTTTTGACAACCCCAGGTGTTGAAAACCGGAGACCTGTCCCTTGCAGCAGCCCAGACGTCAGAGCATGAAGGATTTCATCCTGATGCTGGCCCGTTGTTATCCTAGGTTTAGGGTTTTGGGTTTAGGGTTCAGGGCCTAGGGTTTAGGGTTTAGGGCTTAGGGTTTAGGATTGAGTTTGCATTGCTCTTGTATGTCTATATAGTAAGTCATTGGTTTACTAGACTTTCTGAACCAGTGTACTTAGTTACTTGTGCCTCCCAAGCCCTAAAACCAGAACCCTGAACCTTAAGCCCTAAACCCTTAACCCTAAACCAGAAAACCAACCCAGGATGGTAGTAAGTCGGACATGTTGACCTCCGAGATTCACGCGCAAGGCGGCCAGGAGAGTCCAGTCAGTGTCGAGTCTTTGGTCGCAGCAGGAGAGAGGACTTCCGGAAGATTTTTCTTTGCCATATGAACGGAGCTAAAATCCCAAACTAAAAGCCCTTAAATCCTAAACCCTAAACCCTGAAACCCCAAACCCAATCCTTAAATCCAAAACCCTAGAAACCAAAGGAAGATCGGCACATCATTAAGACGAATATCGAAGCCATGCTTGAGCTCCTGGGTAGCATTCTGGGATATTGTTCAATCTACTTGTGTTTAGGGTTCAGGGGTTAGGGTTTAGGGTTTGTGCCTCTCCAGTGAAGCCAGAAATCATGGTAGCCTTTTCAGCCACATCCCAGGTCTGCGATGTCCAGGCTTGAAACCAAGTTGGATATCATGCTTGCCGACGATCACATCAGACCGAGAGATTTGTTACACATAGGCGCCGGACATGATGAGGGCCGAGCTAGGTACCGGAAGCTCGGTTGATGATAGTTATCACATTAAGGTATCTAGGTTCCGCAGTAGTACCCTTTGCCTTTCTTATTTTGGGGTATCCTTATTAAAGTAAGATTCAATATTGGCAAACGGGGACCCTTATTATTATCGGTATACTGGGGAACCCAGGTACGTATGGTTTCGGGTTTCGGGTTATCGGTTCGGCGTTTAGGGTTCAGGGTCGAAGGATTCGGGGTTAGGGACCAGAGTGGAGAATCACATGGACAAGAAAGGGGCAAGTGAACCGGAAACAGGAGTTACTTAGGAAGTCAATCAACCTGAGGCTGGTTACCAGAAGAACGAGGCCTGACTAAAGAGCACATACCCAAAGTGCCGTAGTTCAGTATATGTTCCCCAAAATCCAATATCGTTGCAGTGCCATTGTCTTTGCAAGCTCTGAATTCCTTAAACAGACCACCAAACAGCAACCGCGAAGAACCTGATGTGGATGCGTTATAGCTCCTCCTTATCATAATGAATATCAAGGTCCCTGAACACTCAACTTTCAACCTAAGCGTGTAGGGGTGGTGGTCATTGTGACATTATGCGTTGTGGTTCATGATAAGATGAGTCCCTAAGCCCTGAAGCAAGGAAGGGCAAGAAGATGCTCCACCCGGAAGCCTTCCGCAGCATGTACCTGAATCATGGCCGCCAAATTTCGTCGATCGATCTACGATTGCAACTGGAATCCTTTGGGTTTCGGATTTGTGGGGGTTAGCGGGTTGTTTTTTGGGGTTTGGGGTTGAGGTTTCAGTGTAATTCTTGGAGAAAGGGTCACTGTTGGCATTGTAGATTGTTGAATGACCACCATGCAATGGGTCCCAGCATGCGACCAGGCCCCTGCAGATTCTGGCGAGAGAAGCAGGAAGGTCTACTTCGGGGAGAACGGTTCTCCCGTGTTAATTTCTGAACAGCTCGGTCCTTTGTCGTCAACAGATGCTGCTGCTGCTCATTTCCCTGCAGCCGGCAGGTCTGCGGACACTTTTAAAGCCTTTTCTGTTAACATCTCACCTATACAGACTGTAAAAATGTAATCCATACAGTCTGCAAGTACATAAATTTTCTGGGCCAGGGCTTTGAGACCCTGATGTCTTGAGCTCGCAGTTTCACTGTTTCGTCCAGTCTGAGTGGCCAAGAAGGTTCTGAACCGCCACATGAAGGCCCCTGAGTTAATTGAGGCATTGGAAAGGTTTTGAGTTTAGGGTTTAGGTTTTGCGTGGGTGTTTAAGGTTCCTTTTCCAGATTTGTTGGGATTCCTTGCGCGGGCCTACATGTCCTTTGGGCAGGAGTTCCTGTCACGTTCTCAAGTGGCGGTGGGCCAGGAGATTCTTCAAATGGATCTCTTAAACCGTCCACTTGCAGATGAAAAAGAGGCTTGCTCTGCCGTGTCTTGAAAGTCAGGAGGAATGACCTTCAGGAGTGCCCTTGGTCTATAAAATGGGCAACGCCTGCGATACCCTAGGCCAAAGGACCTAAACCCTATAAATCCTAAACAGTTGCAATGCCGTCCCTCTGTGCCCCTAGCAGCTTCTAAGAGGTATGTCACGGCCGCAGGAATAGCTGCCCGTATGGGTGCCATGAGACCAACCTCAGAGACGCTTTTCCACCCTTTGGTGTTAAGGGTTTGGGGCGGTTTAGGGTCTACCTGGACTCTTAAACGTTGATAGACCCTGAACCCTGACTCCTAAACCTTGCTAAAACCGTGGAAAGCGGCATGCCGACGGTCTGATTTCAGGTATAGGGTTCAAAGTTTAAGGTTCAGGGCGTTTAAGGTTCGGGGTTGAGAGTTTAGGGGTCCAGGCTCTGCATTTACTTCAGGCGTTGCCCCTACACTGTAAGCCCTATGCCCCTAAAGTTTAAACACATGTGCTACATGTCATTGGGTGTCCGGGAAATAGAAGTCCATTCTGGGCGCCCCCAAAATGAGGATCATCGCGTATTGGGGTCTATATTTGGGGGGCCAAGATGTATGGAAACTACAATACCCGCATCCCGATGTGCAAGACCGTAGCCACTGATCTCAAAGCTTTACACCGAAACAATTCATGTAGACAGGGTGTTCTACAACGCCAACCAATAGATTGTAGGCACACTTGCTCTTCGCAGGAGCAGAAGTAAGCCTTGTATGATTCTGCGAGAAAAGCGGTTGACAGCCACTTCAAAGCTTGGGATTTGGGGTTTATGGTTTGAGTGAGGTCCAGGTCTTCTAACCTTCGCATCGTAAGTTACACGGTGAGGCTAGACTTTGATTCAAGTGTGCTTGCTTCAGTACAACTGCCCATTACCCTGTCATAACAATGAGACTCGCATGCTCGTAGCCTCAGCCTGATGGGTGTAGGGAAAGCCTGGAATCTCGATTCCTACACCTCACCAGCCCGATGAACTCCAAAGCCTAGAATCCTAGAAACCCTAAACCCCCCTAAACCCTAAACCCTTATAAGCCCTCAGCCGCAGCTCGTTGCTGAGGTCCCTCGGCAGATTTTGGCCCTTTCTGAGCCTCCAAGAAGGCACCCTTGGAATGGAAGGTTGAGGCGCTTGCTCCGGGGGTGAGGGGGTTCGAGGTCTCTGTGCCCATAATTACGGAGTTTTGAGAAGAGGTTGCGGGCATCAGCACTTTCTGAATGGTAACTGGAACACAGTAGGGAGCAGCGGCAGTATGTTGATAATCCTTGAGGCTCCTACGAGACTTTGAATCCAGGATTCTTTGGAGGCCAACCAACACAGCACATTGGGATCCCGCTTCTGAGCGCTGCAGAAACCTTGTATCTTGTAGCGCCCGTAGACTCCAGCAACCTTGACTTCTACGCTGTCTTTTGGGGAGATGATCGTGTAGAGAGTCGTAGTAATGTAGACGCTGGAGCAACCCCCGGCAGCGCGAACAAGGCCTGCGAGGTACACACAGGATCCTGTTGTCATGTTGCTTCAAGAAAGGAGGACTTGTGGATCGGGTTATAAGTACTGTAAGAAAGTAGTTGAAGCTCTCAAAAAGCAGTCGGTAAAAGTGTGTATGTATATATATATATATATAGAGAGAGAGAGAGAGAGAGATACATATGACACGCTTCAAAGGGAGCAAGCACATTGCAATAGCCACATGTACGATAATTGAGAATGCCGGTGCAGAACAACTCGGTCAGTAAGCATTCCCTTCACCGCAACAGCATCAAGATCGGCAATATCAGTGAGAGTAACCAGGAGCTAAAGGGTTGATGGGTTTGGTTTCAGTTGCACGTCGCTGCTAGTTAAGAGAGAAACCCACGCCTGCCGCAGGCTGGCGGTGAAAAGCCCTGCTGTTTCCTCGTGCGCGTGTAATCCGTATGTACAAGAATTAGTTGCACAGCTGCAATCACTTTCTTCTGCACAGATAGATGTGTACTCACTGGCCAGTTATCTGTATCTATGTATACAGATAGGTTTTCAGGAAGGTAGTTTGTTAGAGAATGCCCGATACCCGAAGCTTTGAACCGTATCGCCGTGTGTTTCGCAAGCTTGATGGCAGCTGTTGCAGGTATGTGGATCTCAATCTCGCGCTGCAGAAAGCTGTAGCGGAGGCTCCGGGGTCCCTTTTTCGGGTCCTGATTTTGCCATGTTTTTTTTATTTATTTAGACATTTTTGAGGGGGGGTGGGAGCCGTGGTCACCTTTCATAGTTACCCGTTCAGCAATAATGTGTCCGTGTCAGTGTCTCCTGGACTTCAAAACTTGCTATACTAGTGCTAACAACATTAACCCAGAAGTCAGCAGGAGCTTTCCAGCTCGAACTGGCGGTGCATTCATCAACTTGGATTTGTTTGCCGTCGCGGGTTTCCCTTCTTCTTGCTTTCAGGCTTCATCGCGGCTCTCCAGGCTTGGGCTCGAGTCTTTGTCTAGAAAGTGCTCGTGGGGTCCTTCAGGGTGTTCCTGGAACTGAGCATACGCACCATCGTACCTCCAAGAGGAGCTTCGCACGGGGTCGGGCTGAAAGCAGTCCGGGAAGTTCTGGACATCCGCTGTGAGCACCATGGCCACAGCATCTGCAGCAGAGGAAACGAGCTATGGTTTGTCTGAGCCGGAGACTCTCATCAGCTTCCTGGAGGATGCCGGCATCCGCTTGGTGCGCCTCGAGTATTTGATCGAGCTCCGTGAGTCCGGGAGGCCGTTGCCGCGCCGGCAAGAGGCGGAACAGGAGAGGACGAGCTTGGGACTGCCGGCACTCGTGGAAACCAGTGAGCTGCAAGAAGTCGATATTGATCCTAATACCGCCCACATGTCCGTGATGATCCGGCATCCTGAGCCGAGACGGGTCAAAGTCCACCTTGTCTCGATCAGCCACATGTGGGAGAGCATGGAGCATCCGGATCCCTGGAGGTTCGGGGCCGGGCGCATGTGGGAGGGTTTCAGGCGAGGGATCCTGGAACGTGGCATTGAGTTGAATTGCGGGAGTAGATCGGCCCCCCCTTCCCCCCGCCCTGCTAGTCGCCCCGCTAGTTATGTTTCTTGCGAGGTTCCAGCTGGATGCCATCGTGGAGGAGTTCCGTCCCCGACTCCTGGATTCTGTCGTTTGGATCTTCTACGACTTCGTTTCCTTGCATCAATACACCAGAAGCGAGGATCAGGAGCGGCTCTTCCGTCGGGCGCTCCGCGACATTTTTGTCTTGTACTCGCACGACGCCGTGGAAGTCCATCGGATCGAGATGCTGACTCCGGAGATCGTGCGAGAAAGGTGCATGGTAGCCCACGGATCCAAGATCCTCGTTTACTGGAAGGAAGATCAGAAGATGATGGACGTGCTTATTTCTAAGCTCAAGTGGAACGAGACGCCCTACGAGCAACGGGGCTGGTGCCGCTCCGAGAAGGAGTGGTCGGCCTTGCGGACTTGGATGAAGGGCGAGAATCCAGTGCCGCTTCCGCCGGACATGTTCCGGGCACGGATGCAGCAAATGAAATTCACACACAGGGAGGACTCGGAGAAGGTCTTCAAGCTCCAGGCGAAGGTCTTTTGCCAGAAGGCCGCGTCTACGACCAAGCTCCTCATTGAAAATCTGGATGCTGAGAAGATCGAAGTTCTGGCTGCAGCTTTGCCTTTCTATGCAGAGCTGAAGGAGCTCGTTGCCGTGGGAATGCCGGAGTACGCTTGGAAAGCGGTTCCGGCAGTGGTCGAGTCCGGTGCTAGCAACGTCAAGATCGCATGCCAGAATTTGCGGGACGAGGATGCGATCGCTTTGGCGGCCGATTTGTCTACGGAGAAGTGCAGTCACTTGGAACAGCTGCACCTCAAGTGCGAGACCATCGGTGAGCTGGGTCGGAATGCCCTACAGCAGGCGCTAGAGCACTGCACGGCGAATCTGGTGATCAGTACTCCAAACAGCAGCCAGGGCTATGTCGAGCAGCGGACCGAGCCAGCGATGGCTTCGGAGGCTTGCGTGATGCTGCGCATCTTGGTCGCCAGGCGTAGACGAGCACCGCGGCCGGTAGAAGCCATTGCGGCCTGTCCCGCAGCCTTGACTGGACAGATGGAGCCGATGCCGCGGCCGCGGCCGCTGGAATCCCATGCTGCCGGAGGTGCCATCAAGCAGATCGTCAGGGTCCATTGCCTGGCAGGCTCCAGCTTTGAGCTGGAGGTCAACTCTGGCGACATGGGCTGGGATCTAGCGGAACGCATCGCAGCCGGAGTTGGCCGCCCTGCGGAGGCGCTCGTGCTGACATCCGGTGGTTCTCTCCTTGATTTGCGCCAGCCACTGCTGCAACAGCTCCAGCACGAAGAGATCACGTACGTGGTGCAGAAGCTTGGCGCCGGTCGTGCAGCGAGGAGTTGGCAGAACTTTCTCGAGGAAACGGGTTTGTCTGACGCAGATGTAGCTGCCCTGGACGAGACAATCTCACTGACCTGGAAGTCCAGCCGAAAGCTCAACCCTAGCATGAAGCTACCCCAGAGCTTGCAGCGTTTGACGTTTGGCAGAGACTTCAACCAGAGCTTGGAGGGCATCCAACTACCCAGCAGCCTGCAGAGTTTGACGTTTGGGGACAACTTCAACCACAGCTTGGAGGGCATCCAACTACCCAGAAGCCTGCAGAGTTTGACGTTTGGAGACAACTTCAACCAGAGCATGGAGGGCATCCAACTACCCAGCAGCCTGCAGAGTTTGACGTTTGGCGGGAAGTTCAACCAGAGCTTGGAGGGCATCGAACTACCCAGCAGCCTGCAGAGTTTGACTTTTGGCACCCGGTTCAACCAGAGCTTGGAGGGCATCCAACTACCCAACAGCCTGCAGAGCTTGACGTTTGGCTCCGATTTCAACCAGAGCTTGGAAGGCATCCAACTACCCAGCAGCCTGCAGAGCTTGACGTTTGGCTACTGGTTCAACCGGAGCTTGCAGGGCATCCGACTACCCAGCAGCCTGCAGAGTTTGACGTTTGGCTACTGGTTCAACCGGAGCTTGGAGGGCATCCAACTACCCAGCAGCCTGCAGAGTTTGACGTTTGGCGACAAGTTCAACGAGAGCTTGCGGGGCACCCAACTACCCAGCAGCCTGCAGAGTTTGACTTTTGGCACCCGGTTCAACCAGAGCCTGGAAGGCATCCAACTACCCAGCAGCCTACAGAGTTTGACGTTTGGCTACTGGTTCAACCAGAGCTTGCGGGGCATCCGACTACCCAGCAGCCTGCAGAGTTTGACATTTGGCGAGGACTTCAACCAGACAATGCAGGGCATCCGACCACCCAGCCTCAAGCAGAGTTTCGCATCTGGCTACGAGTTCAACCAGAGCTTGGACGGTATCCAACTACCCAGCAGCCTGCAGAGTTTGAGGTGTTGCAGGAACTTCAACGAGGGCTTGGAGGGCATCCAGCTACCCAGCAGCCTGCAGAGCTTGATGTTTGGCAGAAACTTCAACCAAAGCTTGGAGGGCCTCCAGCTACCCAACAGCCTACAGAGTTTGAGTCTTGACAGCAACTGCTTGCAAGGCATCCATCTACCCAGCAGCCTGCAGAGTTTGACCTTTGGCAACGATTCTAACCAGAGCTTGGAAGGCATTCTACTACCCAGCAGCCTGCAGAGTTTGACGTTTGGCTACTGGTTCAACCGGAGCTTGGAGGGCATTCTACTACCCAGCAGCCTGCAGAGTTTGACGTTTGGAGACAACTTCGACAAGAGCCTGGAGGGCATCCAACTGCCCAGCAGCCTGCAGAGTTTGACGTTTGGCGACAAGTTCAACCAGAGCTTGGGAGGGGTCCAACTGCCCAGCAGCTTGCAGAGTTTGACGTTTGGGGACAACTTCAACCACAGCTTGGAGGGCATCCAACTACCCAGAAGCCTGCAGAGTTTGACGTTTGGAGACAACTTCAACCAGAGCATGGAGGGCATCCAACTACCCAGCAGCCTGAAGAGTTTGACGTTTGGCGGGAAGTTCAACCAGAGCTTGGAGGGCATCGAACTACCCAGCAGTCTGCAGAGCTTGACGTTTGGTTCCAAGTTCAACCAGAGTTTGGAGGGCATCCAACTACCCAGCAGCCTGCAGAGTTTGACGTTTGGCTACTGGTTCAACCAGGGCTTGGAAGGCATCCGACTACCCAGCAGCCTGCAGAGTTTGACGTTTGGAGACAACTTCACCCAGAGCTTGGAGGGCATACACTTTCCCAGCAGCCTGCAGAGTTTCACTTCATGCTTTTTTGGTATAGGCTGCTCGCTGCAGCAAGCTTGGTGAGGGGTCATGCTTCATGTCAGTATTGCAAAAACTTTGTTTTGTGGAGCTTCCTGGTGCTCTTGTCTCGAGTCTGTGCGCTGGTTGAAGTCCGGGAAGTTGTCCACAAGACCCCCCGAGGACCCTTGCCTTTAGGACCTGTTAAGATTGAGAAGGCATTGCTTACAGACGAGCGAAGTTCGTTGGGTTTAGGTGATAAGAGTCCGATCTTTCAGACTTATATCGTAGGCAAACCAAATTAGCTGAAGATATCCGTGAGGGTCAGGTGGTCGGCTGCTTCTGGCTGCGCCACGGCTTAGGGTTAAGGGTTGGGTTTAGGGTGCCGCTGTGTCTGCCTATGGGCTCCATTGTAGTTCCTGTCTGGGGTTGATATTCAGACCCCCTACAAGCTAATCCCAAAAAGGAACTACTATGGAGCCTACGGGTATATGGCAAAGATGAGGAATATTGCCTGCATGGTACTTATCATTCTCGATATGATGATTTTTGCCACCACTGCTACGCTATTACGTCCGTGGATTTTTCTACTAATCAATCCTTGAACGGTGCTCTACCAGTTGGGATCATGATTTTTACTAAGATGATAATTCAGGAAGCTCGTCGCTATTTTGTAAGGTCTATGCTGTATACCTGCAACTGCACAAGACTCGGCTGCATTCGGCCACCTCTCGACCAACCTCCTGGGCCTGAAAAGCCATGAAAAGCCAACGCAAACAACTCTCGACTGCCGCAGCCTGGCTAGTGTTGTTATGTCTGTTGGTGCTTAGCTTTTGCCATATCCATTTGTATTACGACTCCTGTTTCCATGACCGCTACTGACCACTATACAATGATGTCTCGTTCGCCAGCTATCTCGATTGGAAACTCCAAGCCCCGAGCCGAATCCTAGCCTATACCCCACCACGCCACGCTGAAGCCTTTAAAGGCCTATGTGCCTTTTCGATGTTTGCACGCTTTGGTGCGGTTGGAGCCTCGGGATCCAGATTTAGGGAAACGGCTTAGGGTTTACAGCAGGTCTTTGGGGCTCAGTGCGCAAGTCGGGTTGGCGAAATTTAGTGTTTTCGGAGTCAGTTCCACGGTTGAGGGGGTTGGGGAGTTGGGGGCACAGGGGTTTCGGGGCTTGGGATTTCGGGTTTAGAGAGTCAGTTCGGGGCTTCGTGGAGGCATGAGGAAGAGGAGGCTTGGGGATCAGGCGTCAAAGGGTGATGCCCGTGACTTGATGACCATGCTGCTGCTGATGATGATGGTGACGACGATGATGAGGGTTGATGCTTATGAGTTGATGAAACAGATGAAACAACAATCGGTGATAGCGGTCGCGACGACGAATATGATCAAGGTGCTGCAACGACCATGATCATGGTCGACATGATCATGAATACAAGGCTGGAGTATGGTTAATTACGCGAATGAGCATGGTGATCTAGATGAGTTGGGCGGGTTGAAGGATCTTGGGGCGAGTATTGAGGTCTGAGTTATTTGTACTAGTCATCTGTCATACCATCTGGACAGTCCCTATACAGCCTTACAGTAAGCTGTCCCCAAAACCATCTAAGCCAGATGCACAGCGGGCTGTAGCAGTCTGGTGCCCGAAGCCCTACCGCTGAACCGTAAGAACTGAAGCAAAGGCTGCTTGTCATGGTCCGCCCCGCTACAAAGATTCCTACGGGAGGTCTGTGCGGGAATCCTTCTTAAGGCAAAGTATATGGCAAAATCTTGCGAGCACTAAGGTGCTTGCTGTAAGGAAGCTCGTCGCCGGTGTGTTTGAGCAATGTGTGAATGGCACAAATCTTAACAATGCACCTGCAGGCGAAGGCATGGCTTGCCGCAAAAACAGGGGCACACATCCATCTGACAATGATGTGTATGTGTGCACACTCATTGTGTGCATGTATTTCGATAACTTCGTAGCCTGCTTGATTGGGGTCTGCTGTGTACCTGCACAAGGCTCTCCTGCGTTCGGGCAGCGCCGTGGCCCGCGACCAGCCTCGGGAGGTCTCTGCTTCGTGAGACCCGGCAAGCGGGAGAATCAGGCAGCGATGCAACGTCAAAAGTGCGGTGCTGGGCACAGGGTGCTGGTGCTGGAGGGTATCATGGTGCTTCACTCGAGAAGACCGAGCCGCAAACTCTAAACTCACCTGATAACCACAATGAAGCGGTTCGTCCACAGTGCCGGGACCGCTGGCGATCTAACACCAAGATGCCTTAGTTGTAACATGTTGCGTTCATCGTACTTTTGCGTTCCCGACAAAACTAACACAACATGCTGAAAGTCAACTCTTGACCATTGTACCTCAACATGTGTGCCTTCTGCTGTTGTGTTTTTTCCCAGGTAACTATACGAAAGTAGCATAGAGTTCCCCCAGATCCAGTCAATTGAATAGGGCTTACCTGCCCCCCTTTGTGTTCATCTCTTTCAAAATGCCAAGCGGGATAAACACCAAACCCCTGAAGCAGACGGACAGTGCGAGAGCCTGCTGTGTACTAAGGTTCTAAGAGATCCATGTAATGGATTCTGGGCTCAGGGTCTAGGGTTTACGTCTTTAATTAGGATCTGGCATCTTCTAGAGCTCCAAGAATGTGATATCCCGGCTAGAAAGCATCTCCCAGCTCCCCGCCACAAGGCCTCTACACTGAAGACTGAGAGCCGCTGAGCCACCGAACCTTTCCTGGAGGAACCAAGGGCTCCATGTTAAGCAAAGGGAGAATCCCAGTGTGTTGTGTAGATTTCCTCGTTTCGCTTGAAAAGGTAGGCTGGGTTCAAAGCCGGCCTTGAAGTCTTAAAACTGCAACCCCCATGGATAAATCAAAGAGAAGTCTCGAATCTCGGCCCCCTGCTTGCAAACCTTGCATCGTTGGCAATGATCCCTATTTTAGGCCATTTTAGGCCCGATTAAACAGTCTAGTGCCCCAGTGCCCCAGAGTAAAATCTGACCCTGAGTGGTAGCCGGCAGCAAACGTTTGTTTCTTCGTCTTTGGGCTTTCGAAAGTGCTGGCTAGCCTGCGCCCGGCCCGCGCAAATGGCGCCATGGACGCCGAGGTTGGCCTGCCCAACCCTCAACCTCAAAAATCGAAACGCCCAAGCCCCAACACATATAATGCTAAGTCTTAAAACGTCGAAACCATAAACCCCAAAACCAAAAACCTTAAAATACAGCTTCCCCGAAACTGTGGGAGCTTTTGAAGTCCAAGAATCGGCTGGGTTCTTGAACCAGGTACTAGTAGAATTTAAGCTAACATGATATGGTGACCTTGTCATGGTAGCTAAAGTCAGAAGTTCTTTAACCAGAACCCACACCCTGTACAACCTGTAACTTGACCTCTAAATTTGTTAAAGCCCTAAGCCCAACAAGATTCATGTTTAGGAGGCTTCCCTCGAGGTATCGAAGCTTTGTTCGAAATTTGGAGTTTCGTGATGATGCGGGCTACCTTACCCGTTGTAGGACTTAATGTTCAAGGTTCGGCGGCTACGAGATATTGTCCCACCGCCTAAAGCAGCCAGCAGTGAAGAGAATTGCAAATCCTCAGGGCTGGGAGTCTGCCAAGGGTTCTATCCTAAACTCCTTGAGGTTTAGGGTTTAGGGCTCCTAAGAAACAGAAACTGCTTGGTTTTAGATTCAGTCTTCCCTGGTAGCTGTGTGAAGCACGAGGCTTCAACATCGGGCCCCTCTTCTACGGGTCCCAAAAGGAAAAAGCAGAGAAATGTGAGGACGATAAGTTCTAATTCTAATCAACCCTTAGCCCTAAAATAACCACAAGCCCTCAGCGCTGCACTTAGACCCGAAAGCCCCTAAAGGAGCCCTGAAACCCAAGACAGGCCCAGGATGAAGATGGCCAGGACGAAGAGGAGAAGGTACGACAGGGAGGACTGGGTGTGGTATTTTGTTGATGCAATTTGCAGGTGGGTGGTTGTCAAAATTATGGTCCATTTTTGGTCCCCATTATAATACGGCACCTAATATCAAAGCTTACAGAAGCCCAGCTGGCTCAAAGATCGTGCTGCAACGGGATCATCGTGCTCGCTCGCCTGTTCCTTTTTGCCCCGGTTGATGCCCACATTGCATCCTACTCGCCCCGTGTGCGTCGCTTCTTCGAAGCGGGACCCTCGCAAGCTTTTGCGAGCCAGCAATGCACAATGAAGAAAGCTTGTGCTTCGGACCTGTTCCTCGCTGGAACAGAAGAAATGGTCCGAAGCTTCTGATCAATCTTATCTCGGCTCAGAGATGGATTGAAGCTGGCACTGCAAGAGTTCCTCGGCACAGCTTCCACCAAACGAGCTCGTACCCCCTGTTGAGCACGAAAAGTTCATGAATAATGCAGGCTAGCAGCTTGCCATCATGCATCCTGCCCCCGCACAGCTTTCCCTGATAGTGCGGCAGAACCCGGTCGCAGAAAACAGTCTTGTGCATGGTGCAGCCGGCAGGAAGCGGCCACTTCTTCAGCAACTCATCGGGGATAGTTGTGGAGGATGCAGATAACAAAGCTCGCGATGTTCGAGTCTGCTCCTCGACCGATGGCCCAGACCCCTCCGGCACGTCAGTCGCAGGCTCCTGTTGAAGCTATTTCCGAAATGCAGGAATGATAAGATCCGCAACTCATGACATTAGTTACCGAGTGGCCTGTTCATCCTGATGTTTATCTGCTTCTTGTTGTTCTTCTTCATCCAATCTCTCCAAGAGCTCATGGCAAGCTTGCATGGCCGGATCTTCGCAGAGCTCCTGCCATTGGATCTCTGCCTGCTGTCGGGCAGAAACGATAGTGACGGGACCCGACTCCTTATTCCGAAAGCATTAGTCAAAGAATTTGAACACCTGGCCTCCTCATCGACCCGTTCCTCAGCCGAAGCGGAAGCTTTGCCCTTTTTTCGGTCATTCTCATCAAGCGTCGTCAGCACCTGGTCCAACCTGTTGGCATCGCACTGGTCCTGTATGGCCGGCAAAGAAGCCAGCTTGCGTATTTTCGCAGCCTTCGTGGTGTTCTTGGGAAACCGCACATGGTGATCA